CCCCTCCCTCAGAGAGCCATCATATATAACAAATAGTATTTACAAAAGAAAAAAATCAGCTGAAAAAGTTTGAAAATATGTGCAACACTCATGAGTCTCCCACCTCTGGAAAGGGGTGGGTTGGGAGTGTCTGCTCTTACCTCTTCTTTTGAACCACGCTTCTTTATAATTTTGCAGCATTCACTTTTTTTTTTGTGATTCATTGCATTTACACTGTGATAATTATAATGTATTTTGTTTTCTGGCTCTGCTTACTTAACTCTACCTTAGTTTGTGTAGATATTGTCATATTTCTCTGTATTCACTACATTTGTTATTTCTTACAGCAAAGAATATTCCATTACATTGCTTTTTTGTTATTTCTTACAGCAAAGAATATTCCATTACATTGCTTTAACACAATTTGTTTAGCTATTCCTCAACTGATAGCAACGCCTATCACAAAAAGTGCTATTTTACCATACTTGGGGATTTCATTCTTATCAATGGCCTCCTTGGGGTATGAGCCTAATAATAGTTTCTGGGTCAAGGGTATAGACATTTGGACATTTTAGTTACTTTATTTGCATAACTCCAAATTGGTTTCCAAAATGTGCATACTGAATCACAGCTCCACCAAAAATGCATATGTGCCTCTCTCCCTACATTCCCTCCAACACTGACTCTTCCACTCTTCTGCCAACTATGCCAATTTTCAGGGTGTCAAGTGTTTGTTTTGATGTGCATTTCTTTTATTATTAGTGACGTCTTCTTGTTCAGTTGTTTTGCAGTCATGTCTAACTCTTCATGACCCCATTTGGGTTTTCTTGGCAAAGATACTGGTGTGGTTTGCCATTTCCTTCTCCAGCTCATTTTGCAGAAGAGGAAATTGAGACAAATAGGATTAAGTGTCTTGGCCCAGGGTCACAGAGCTAGTGTCTGAGGCCAGATTTGAACTCAGGAAGATGAATTTTCTTCACTCCAAGCCTGGCACTCTGTTTATACTTAGCTGCCCAAAGTAATTTGGAAGTCTTTCAAATTGGTAAATAATTTGCAGTTTTTCTTTTGAGGACTCTTTGTTCGTATCCTTTGACATCTTATCTGTTGGGAAATGGCTTTTGGTCTTATATGTAAATGAACAAGGTAGATGTGTGGATGCCAAACCTTTATCAGAGAAAATTTCTATATACATTTTCCCCCATTTTGATCACTTCCCTACTCCTGGGTTTGTGCCTAAGTTTTTCAGTTTCATGTAATTGAAGTTTTTAAAATTTTCTGTGTCTTTTTTTCCCTTTGGTTAAGAATGTATCTCCTACCCATAGCTCTGAGAGATATAGTTTGCTTCTCCTAATTTTTTAATCGTTTGATGTGAAATATTAGTCACATATCATTTAGAGCACATCGTGTTCATTTGCAACATGGTGGAAAGTGTTGAACGTCTGAGCTTAATGCCTGCCAGGCTGCTTTCCAGTTTTCCTATCAGTTTTTAGCAATAGGGAGTTCTTTTCTAAATATTTTGTTTGTTTTTTAAACACTAGGTTGGTGGATTCCATTCTGATTTCCCTACCTCTATTTTTTGGCCAATGGGAGATATTTTTGATGATTGCTGTCATTTGGAAGTGCTGTTCACCTTCTTTTCATAATTTCTCATCATATTCTAGATCTTTTGTTTTTCCAACTGAATTTTGTTACTGTTTTATACAGTTCTATAAAGTATCCCTTTAATAGTTTGATTGGTATGGCATTAAAAAGTAAATTAACTTGATAATATTGTCATTTTTATTATATTTGACAGGGCTCAGCCACGAGCACCTAATATTCCTCCAGCTATTTAATTTGCTCTTTATTTATTAAGAAGCACTTTATAATTGAATCTCCACAGATTTTTGTGTGTGCTTTTGTAGATCTCCCTGAAGATTTATGCATTTTGTAGTTATTTAGAATGGGATTTCTTTTTATTATTGTATCTTGTATTTTGTTATTATATAGAAATGTTGTTGGTCTTTGAAGATTTATAGCCAGCAACTTTGCTTAAACTATTGTTTCTAGTATCCTTGCTGATTCCCTTGGAATTTCCAAGTATACGTCATATCATTAGTAAATATTTCTTCTCTTCTTTACCTCTTTACACCTTTAATTTCTTTCTCATCTTATTATTGCTAGCATTTCAAGAATTGTATCAAATAATGGAAGAGTGGGCATCCTTGCTTTAACCATGTTTATTAGGAAAGGTTCTAGTCTATCCCCATTGTACATGACCCTTGCTTTTGTTTTTAGATAGATACTTTTAATAATATTAAAGGTCCCTCTATGTCTATATTTGGTAGGGCTTTTTTTTTTTAGCATAAATGAATGTTAACACTTTGTAAAAGGCTTTTCCCACATCTATTGAAATAACCATGTGGTTTTGGGTGTTTTTGTTTCCAGTATAATTCTGATGATTGTTTTTCCAATGTTTGAACCATTCTTGCATCTGGTATAAATCTATTCTGGTCATGATTAATGATGGATGAATCGCTGTAGTCTGTCTGATAGGGTTTTGTCAAAAAGTTTTTCATCCGTGTTCGCTGATGATATTGGTCTGTCCTGTGTTTTTCCTTCTCTGCTTTAGATATTGACTGTGTTTGTCTCATTAAAGGAATCTGGTAAGGTTTTTTCCTTTCTCAGTTTTTGAGAATAGTTAGCATAGTATAGTATTGGTACTAATTGTTCTTTAAAAGTCTGCTAAGACTTTGCCTGTGATTCCATCAGGATAAGATTTTTATTTTGGTAGTTTCTTTGCAGCTAGTTGTTTCCTTTTTGCTAAGATTATATTATTTAAGATCTCTAGTTCTTCTGTTAAGTTTGGGTGTTCTTTTATTTTTGAGAGTATTCCTCTTTTGCTTGTGTTTTGTTGGACAGTCGTTTTCAGTCGTGTCTAACTCTTTTTGATCCCATCTGGGGTTTTCTTGCAAAGATATTGGATTTGCCATTTCCTTCCCCAACTTACATTACAGATGAGGAAATGGAGGTAGAATTAGGTGACTTGCCTAGGGTCACATAGCTATTAAGTGTCTGAGGGTTGGATTTGAACTCAGATCTTCTTGATTCAAGCATATAACTAAGTGCATGTAAAAGCTTCTGATTATTCTTTTCATGCTGATTTTGTTGATTTGATTTTCTGCCCTCTTTAAATCAGATTGGCTTGTTTTACCAATTTTATTAGTCTTTTGAAAGAACTAGTTTTTATTTTCTTCAGTTTTATTTAAACTTATTTTTCATTTCTGTAGCCTTTTGTTTCTGATTTGTCTCTAATTTTTAATATCTTCTTTTGTTTACTTTAGTCTATTTGATGGCTATTTTTTCCTTTTTTTTGCGAAGCAGTTGGGGTTAAGTGACTTGCCCAGAGTCACACAGCTAGCGAGAATCATGTGTCTGAGGCTGTATTTGAACTCAGGTTCTTCTGACTCCAATGCCGGTGCTTTATCCACTGTGCCACCTAGCTACTCCAATGGCTTTTACTTTTTAAAAATGCGTATCTTTTTCTATTTTGTTATTTTATGTTTGTTGGGAAATGGCTTTACCCCTGAATGCTGCTTTAGCTGTATCACTGAAATTTTGGTATGCTGTTTCATCATTATCATTTTCTTTCACATAACTTTTAATTGTCCCTATGATTTGTTCTTTGACCCAGTCATTATTTAGGATTTCTTTCTTAAGTCTCCATTGACAGTTTTGTCTTTTGTTTGTGTTCCCTGAAATAATTACTATTTCTGCCTTTTTACATTGGTTTATGACATCTGTGTCCTGGTAAGTTTTTGCAAAAGTGCCATGTGGTTCTGAGACATACAGTTATTCTTCAGCAGTCCCATTAGAAGATGCCATAAATCTTTTAGCTCTAGTTTCTCCAGCAATTTGTTCAGTTCTATATTTTCTCTTTTTCCATCAGACTTATCCAAGACAGAGAAAAAAACCTGAAATCTTTTGCCACTATTGTGTCATTGTATGTCTTCTTGTAGCTCATTTGTTTTGTGAATGGAAATGCTAAGACATTTGAAGCATGTATGTTAATATTGGTATTGGCTGTCTTTTAGCATAACGTTATTTCCTTGTTTATCCCTTTTCAGTTTTTTAGTGTCTGTTTTCACTTTGATAGCATGATTGCAACTCCTGCTTTTTTCTGGATTAGCTTGATGCAAGGCAATTTTTTTCTAGCCTTTCACTTTTATTTTGTTTTTCTGTTTTTAAATATTTCTTGTAAGCTACAAATTTTATTTTCTTAGCCAATCTCACATTTTCATTTCATTGGATTATTCCATCCATTAATATTTAAAGTTTAAATTGTTTATATTTTCCTCTTCTTCTGCAAACACAATACTATGTTTCATTTACTTTTAGCTTAATCTATTTTAAAACAATCCTCTTCCCACAAGCTCTAGTCATCTTGCCCTCAAGCCCCACTCTCCCATTATACCTTTCCCTAGTTTTGTTTAATGTTACTAGGTTCCTTTCACCTAGCTACATAGTAATCAATATCTATATAGTACTCATTGTGTGCCAGGCACCGTGCTAAGCATTTACCGTGATCATCTCGCAACAATCCTGGCAGGTGGGTACTGTGATTATCCACATTTTACAGATGAGTAAACTAAGGCAAACAGAGGTTAACTGCCTGGCCCAGGTCATTAAAGCTACTAAGTGGCTTGAGGCTGCATTTGAACTCGGGTCTTCTTACCTCCAAGCTGGTATGCTCTTCACTGGACGCCTAGCTGCCAGAATCTGGTCTGGGGAAGATAAAGGAGATGGAAGACCTACCAGTTGCTGATGCGTTGAAACAGATTCCCACTGAGTGGGAAAGGCCTTAAAGTAAATACCTTCTATGGCAAATCAAGACCAGGGGACAGACACCCAACTAGTGAAAGATGGAGTTGGGTTTCCAGTTGCACCCCCTAGAATGACCCTGGTTGGTTACTGCTAGTTTCCCTCACAGAACTTTGTTTCTTTCTCTTGATAACCCTGGAACTACAGGCAGGATCCAGTCATCATAGAGAAGGTAAACATCAAATCTTTATTACATATTTCTAGGTTTTAATGCCTTAAAGGAGTACTCCAACTTTGAAAAGCGAACTGGTAACAGTTTAGAACACATCTCCACACAGTTGTGTCCAATGTATTTAATAGTATGTGACAGATTGCTATTGACTGAAGTTTAAATCCGCCCTGATCAGAAAACTGAATTTACTTGAAATGCTGATACTAGATTATCATCCCTACAACCCTGCAATTCAAATTCTTAAATTTCATGAGGACTCTGAAGACTCCTCATGCCACTGTCCCATAAACGTTGAAACCCCATTATTACTTGGGCTCGTAGCTCCTCTTGCAGCCCTTAAAACTCAGGTGTACTGTGGTTATAAAGACTAGAGTACGGGAGTGGGAGAAGGAGACACGACTTGGAATCAGGCCATGTAGAGCTCTGGTGAAAGAGGCTTACAGAGGGGCAAGACACAACGATACTGACCCTAGGCAGTCTCTTCATTTTCACTACCCAGTAAAACATTTCTTATGTAAATGCTCCCTTGTCTTCTAGAACTAGGAAGTCACATTTATCAAGTCAATATAAAGTGTTTTATTAGCAAACTAAGTCTTTTCACTGAAATCCCCCAGCCTTGCTTGTCTTCTTGCCTCTCTAGCCTTGTGCTCGCATCTAAAACAGGCCTTTTTGAATCTCAGGGAGCTTAGGCTTTCCTGGGCTCTGGAGGGAGGCCTGGGAGCTTACCAGCTGCTGAGACCATGTGAGTTCCTGTCTCTCCATCACTCGGTCTCCAAGGCTTTGGCTTTCCGCCCAGGCTCGGATGTCCCGGGAGTCGGCAGCCTCTACCGTAGGCCCTCAGTCTTGAGCACTGGCTTTCAGAGCAGCTTTGTACTTGCCAGTCATCTCTTTGGGCAAAGGCACAATGGCTGGGCAGGGGACCTGTCCTTCACTTCACAGATACATTTCCGCAGGCAATATCTTTTGGGTCCAAAATTAGCCGGGTGAGAAAGCTTCTGTTTCTCTAGCTCCTCCATCTCGAGGACTTCCCTGTCAAAGAACAAAGATAATGAGACCCAGTGAAATAAAAAGAAGATAATTTTCCTTTGAGCCAATAACAAAAAAGAGGGGTGAGAATTGGCTTCTCCAGAAGTGCTGTACTGTGCCCACAGTAGCCTCTTCACCAACCACAGACCCAAGTTTTTACTGATGGTGGTGTTGGAATAGAAGTACAAACCTAGGTTCTATTGCTCCACTCCTGATTTATCATGGGACTTGTGCCTCATTCCCCTTTTAAAATATAGTGATGAAAACTCCTGTTAACATTCCTTCTCTCAGAGAAACAATGATGACCGGCACTCTCTGTTGAAACATTCATTGTTCATCATTGGAACGAGGCCTAGAGTCAGTCTTTTGCTTTGCCACAGTAACAAGCCCAGAAGAGGTGGCATGCAGAAGCCTCACATCATCCACAGCGAACCTGTGTCATCTGCCAGACGTACTTTCCTCCGAGGCGACACGCAAACTAGTGTTCACTCCCCCAATTCTCACATATCATCTTGATACATACAGGAATGCACACTAATGCTGATACTAAGCATTACCTCACCCAATCTCTTGTTTCCTAGGACTTTTTTTCCCTACATGCCTACGATGAAACCAGCTTAAATCCATCTTAACAAAATTTTTATTTATAACTGAGACATTTTGTTCAGGATAAGGGTTTGCAAAATCAGCTGTTGTATACAATCAAGTCACTAACTCCCTGCTAGAAAAAGCTGATGGAGAAGAAACGTTAAAGTGAATTAAGGGGAAGATATCTCTTCTGGATTAGAGAAAAAAAGGCTTCAAGCCATCAGCTAACTTTCCCTCCCCTTTCCCCTTTTTTGTGCTACATATATAGAAAGCCCTAAGATCAGGGAAGTTGGAAAGGTAGACTTTCATTACCTATCTTATTTGAAGTCCTTTAAAGGACTGAGGAGAGTCAAGGGGCAAAGGTCAAGGGTGGTTTAATGCTGAGAAAACTTCAAGAAAGGAGACAGATTCACTGGGAGGAGCCTATGATTCCAAGCTAGATTCAGGATGAGTTGTAGCAAAAGCATGATGGAGACATTTATTTCTTGAAAAAATTCTAAAACTCGAGTTGTGGCTGTGGCCCACAACTACACACAGGTCAGGTTTTTTAAGATGAGTGACTCCTCAAAAATTGAAATCTGTTAAGTAAAACGTGCTAGACAATGTCACAGTCCCTTGGTTTTATCAAATCCTTGGGAAACGGATGCTAACCAACCTGATTAATGGGGCAGAAAGCCTCTTGATTACCAAACCAGACAATGTCTTTAAAGCCCTTACTTAGCACCCATCATAGAGCGAGCACTTGCGTCAATCCCCGTGACTACCACCCATCACAGTGAGTCACCACAGAAGATGTGGTGCCCACCAAGGCCACGGGGGCTTTCTTCTCTCCTTTAGCCCTGGACGTTGGGGAAGATGGGAGCTTGACACACAGCCTGGATCTCCTAAGGGCTGCGGCGCGGCCACCAACGTGTCCACGAGACAGCTAAGTCTACCCTGCTCTCCTCTCCATACCAACCCTCTCTTTTCTATCTTCTCCTCTGGTCCTCAAGGTTAACAAGGTGACTGATCTCTGATCAAGCACCAAGCAACTTACTCCTTCTTCCCCAGGATCTTTTTGACGTGCTGCACGATCTCTTTGTTACTCTTGTCTTCCACGTCCACCAGGACCTGTTCACCAGAATCTAGAGAACAAGAAGCACAGAGCAGGACCCTGCCATGACGTCTGTACAAGACCACGTCCTAGCTTTAACACGTTTGGTACCAAGACACCAACCAAAGGGATACAAGGGAGAACCAACATGGCGCTGCTGGAGACACGAAGGCAGCCGTTGGGAAGTGGAGAAGGAAGGGATGGAGTTAAGCACATTCTCTGAAGAAAGCTAGTCTTCTAAGGGAATGCCCACTACCCATCTGGGGCAGTTAACACTCCAAAGTCCTACTGTTGGAGCTGAGCCTCACAAAAACCCCAGAAGGCAGCTTCATTTTACAGATTCAATTCAAACATTATTAAGTGTCTTATTAAAAAAATACATGAGGCTTGGGCTGGTGACACAGAGCTACTAGAGGGTCACTGGTTCAATAAGTTAGGGCAGAGGAGAATAATCACTTTCACTTTCTGACAAATGAGGCCCTAATGTGTTTGTAACTATTGTAGGAAGAGAGTCTGGTGACAAACGTGAGCTTTTGGGCTCTAGTCCTGCAATAAGAACATTTGCACCAGGCCCGGGGGAAGGGGTCTGGCAGCCAGCCCTGACCACTCACCTAAATAAAAGCGTAGAAATGGTGATGGTGTCATGTTCTTGAACATCATGATCTGCACCCAGGGGTTTTTGTACTGAATCTGAGGAACGCTGAAAAACACAAACTTCCTACAAAGGGGAAAAATAGAAAACCAGTAAAGAAAATAGTAGGAGGTACAACAGTGACACCTAGTGGACACCCTCAGCAACCACTGAGTTATGAGGTGGTGTTATCCCCATTTTATACATGATGAAACCAAGGTTCTGTGATAAAAAAGATTTGTTAACAAAGGCCAGAGTGATCTGTTGCAGAGGTGGGGCTACATTCTAACACCAAGAGCTTAGGGAAGGCTTTATACCAAAAGCTACCAACCCTGAAGCTCATGGCTAGGGTGACCATGGACTTAGACCTGTAAACCATGTGCAGGGTGCTGCAGCGGGGATAAGAAAGCTCCAAGAGCTACCTTGGGACCTCGGGCCCTTCCTCTCCCTTTTCTCATATTTTAGAGAAGGCAAAAGAACAGTGAGTGATGCCTATCCTCTCAGCTTCATGGGGGCTTTGCCGTATAAGGCACAGTGTGGTCAAGGTATACTGGGTTAGGGCCACATTTCAGAATTTCCTGTTGACAACTGTTGACATTGACCCAGGCAATCAAAATCAAGCTCGCTGTGGTGGGAAAGGTGGGCAGCAGCACTGAATGAGCACTTGGACCAGAGAGGATGAAGATGGTCCCCACCCCCACCTGCTACAGAGGCCAGCTCCTGCAAGAAGCTGGGGCCTGTATCTTCGATAGCTGAGAACAGGAAAGTTATTTTCTCCTTCCACACGTTTTTCTAGGGCACCTTGTCGGGGCCCTGACTCTGCCCCTAGAACATTCTACTTGTTGTATTCTGTTCCCCATTCGAGAGTGAATTTGTTGCAGACCTAGGCAGCTGGGCAGAGGAAAAAGCAAAGGCTTTGGATTCAAAGGACTTGAGTTTAAATGATGACCATGCCTTCCTCGCCGATAACCTAATGCAGGTGGCTGCACAGGACCTCTTCCCACTAGCCCTGTGGTGGCCTGGTTAGGTGAACTGAGGCAAGTCATTTAATCCCTTAGGTCTGTTTCCTCATCTGTAAAACAGGCAGGCTGGACTAGTTAACCTGTAAGGTCCTTTCACGTGCTGAATCTGTACCCTGGGACTGCCAAGTGCTGTCAGATTTAAGTCTTTGTCAGGCACAAATAGTCCATATGAACTTATCCCAGTGCCATGCCAGGAGATGGAATCTCTGCCATCTGAACTGCCTTCGGAAGGTTCTGAAGATCACCTGGCAGGATAAGCATCAGAGGTTCTTTCTTGAGCTGACCTGCCAAGTGTTCAAACCCTACCACAGAGAGCACAACTCTGATGGGCTGGCCACCTTATTCAAATGCCAAACAGTCCATCTGCCTAAAAGGCCATTTTATGGGGAACTCATGCAAGGCAGGCACTCACATGGAGGTCAGAAGAGACAACACAAGGACACTCTCAAGGTCTCTCTGAAGAACTCTGGTAACGATAGAGACGTGGCAGACGCTGGCACAGGACTGCCCAGCATGGCATGCCCATATCAAAGAAGGTGCTGTGCTCTACGAGCAAAGCAGAACAGCTCAAAGGAAACGTGAAATGCACAAATTTAGAGAGTCTCCATTCCAAATGTTCACATGGAGTATCTGTGTCTGACCTGTGGCAGGGCCTTCCAGCTCACACTGGTCTAATCAGTCACAGTGGGACACACTCAACAGCACCCCTGGCACAGTCATGTCATTTTGGTCCTCTTTGAGTACAAAAGGACAACAACCAGCTTGTCACTAATGCAGGACTTCTTGGTCTACAACAGGTTGGACCACAAGGCTTCTGAGGTACCTTCTGAGTTAATGTTGAAAGATCTGGGGCGGACATAGACAAGACCTTTTGAGTATCATGGAAGGTGGCCTCCCATAACCACTGCTTGGATTCTTCTGTCCTCTACGATTTAAAAAAAAAAAAGCGTGACAAGATGGTGCAGTGACGATGTGCTAAATGGGTCACTGACTTTTCTGTTAACTCAAATGAAGTGCCTGCTTTTTAGTTGTAATGATAGTGAGGTCACAGGATTTAGAACTGGAGGAGGTCTGGAAGATCAAGTCTGAGCCCTCTACAAATGAGGAAAATGAGGCACAGAGATGTTGGGCAGGGGACTTCTCCAATAATAACCTGGGTTGTAAGCAAGAGAAGAAGGATTCAAATACAAGACCTTGAACTCCATACCCAGTTCTGAGAAAACCGCCCTTAAGGAGCAGCCAGAAATCATCCTTAAATTCCATTTTCACCTGACACCCTTTCCAACTAAGCCTCTGCAATAGCCCTCCTTCCATGTGAAATTCAAATTTCTCAGCTTTCAAGTAACCTCCAACTCAGGCTCTCTGGTCCAGGTAAAGCAATCTGGCAGCTCCCAAGCTGGGTCAAGGCTTGCTAATGCCCCCCCCCTTTACTCAAGGCCCCCTCCTACACAGGAAATGCTTTAAGTCAAAGACACCCAACTCAAAACCTCCCCCTTCCGGAAGACACAAGATTTGAACAGGGTCAGCAGCAAGCGGTACAAAGAGCAACGCGACGCTGTGTTAGATTACACAAAGGAGGGAGCGCTCACTTCTGGCTCGGAGGTAATCAAGGGGAGCACTGCAGGCACACAGCAAGTGACTCGCTTTGGCGGGAGGACAAGAAGCCTGCGTGGGCGCAGTGAGAGCTCCCACTGCGCTCGGCCGGCGGAGGCCTTGAACGCCAAGGTTAATGCCCGCCAACGAGCCACCAGAGGCTCTTGAGTGGCAGGCACAGCTGGGCAGAATCCCACCTTCGGATAACCGATCTGGCAGTCAACCGGGCACTGCAAGGTGCTAAGTGCTGGGCACGCGAAGAAAGGAGAAAGCCAGTCCCTGCGGGGAGAAGCCCAGGCTGAGGGGGTCTGGGGTGGGAACAACGCGCAAACAAGCCAAGTGTATACGGACAGGAAAAGCGGGAGATAACCCAGAGGGAAGGCCCCAGAATTAAGGGGGGCAAGGACGGCTGCCCGCGCCCAGTGGGATTGTCGCTGGTAGCCGAGGAAGCTGGGTGTGGGGGGGCAGCCAGTGAAGATGCCCCCGAGCCCAGCGAAGTACAGCAGAAAGAACCTTGGAACTGGAAGCAGGAGACCCACCAGGCCTCAGCTTTATCTGTAAAATGAGGGGCGAACTAACCATGAACTCCGGCAAGGTGCCACGCACCTAGTAGGTGCCTAATAAATGCATGCTGAATTATGCTTCTAGTAGGTGCCTAATAAATGCACGCTGAATTATACTCCTAATAGGTTCCTAAGAAATGCTTGGTGACTTGAAGGAGGAGTTTCTGAGGTGCCTTCCTATGCCTATGAGCCACGGGCAGGGATACACTGATAAAGGAATGCTGGGGTCCTTGAAAACAACGAGGGGGTAAAGGTCACTGCTTTGCCCAAGGTCGCCCGGGATATAAAGCCGCAGAATTTGCACCCACTGCTCTTCCCCTGGTCCCAAGTTCCAGGCTAGGCGGGCAGGGTGCTCGCTAATGAGTCCCCTCTCCGCGCCTCAGTCTCTCCATCTGTAAGATGGGTACAGCCTGTGCAGGTGGCCGGGAGTGACGCCCCAGGCTCCGGCTCACTGACCTGGCTCCCTCGCTCAGCTCCCCATGGGTGTTGTAGTTCACGGTCATGACCTTGACCGAGCTCTTAAACACGATTTCGCCCTGGCTCAGGTACTGCAGGGTCCGGCGGATGGGGTAGCGCCCCTTCATCACCATCGCGGCGGCGGCGGGCGCGAGACTGCAGAAGGCCAGGCCACACGCGCCCGCGGACTCCCGCCTACTGCGCAGACTCGCGCTAGTTCCGCGACCGCGGACGAGGCCTAGGCGCTGCCGTGAAGCACTCTGGGAGATATGGTTCCCGGGCTCCTGGCCGCCCGCGCACTCCGCTCACTGCGCAGACTCGCGCTAACTCCGCAGGCGCTACCGCGAAGCAGTTTGGGAAATGTGGTTCCGCGAAGGCTCCCGACCGCGCTCTCCCACGCCTGCGCACTTTACGACCCTGGACGCTGCGCAGGCGCCACCGCGAAGCCGCTTGGGAGTTGTGGTTCGGAGGCTCTCAGCTGCGGCACCGTGATGGGGCAGGGCTGTCTGCGCCTCCTGATCCTTTCCCGCCCAGCGCGACTTTACTTGTGTCAGTCATTCCTACGTTCCGGAGTATGGGACAGATTTACCCAGAAAAAAGTGAGGCAGGCTTCGTTTTCTGGAAGAGCCCGATACGTACGACCTTAATTTCCTTCCCAAAATCTAAGTTGCCTCCAACGTCTTTGGTGCAGCGCAGAGAGGCGTACTTGGAGGGCAGCAGCATTCGGAGTCAGAGGTCCGCGGTGAGAGGGGTAGGGCTTGGGGGGCAGGATGGTCTGCAAGAGCCCTTCTCCCATTTCTATGATTTCTGAACACACGTGCAAAAAGCAAGCCACCAGTGTCACACGGGAGCCCCAGGAAATGCTTGCATTTTTAGTCAGGCTGTCCAAATTTAGAACGTGGTTATTGGTCAAGCGTCTTCCCTCCTCACCCCCCCCCGCCTCTTCCTTCAGAAACACTATTCTCCTGTCCCCATCTGTCAATCATCCAGCCAGCGCAGACCCCGGCCACCTTCCATGAGCAGTTAACTAGACCCCTAAGACGTCAATGAATGCTTGGTAATTCATCCTTTTCCGTCATTTCTGTCTGTGCTCTTCCATAACCAAGCAGAATCCCCCCTACTTCCGGAAGATCTCTAATCTGGAGTAGATTCACCAGACCACGCAAAGCCGGTAAATGATGTGTCTTCCGTCCCCCAGGGCCGAGTCTGTCTCTTTCTGAGACCCCATGGATCGAGGGCTTGGCTTGGAGCCGCTAAGACTCGTCTTCATGAGTTCAAACCTGGCCTCAGACACTTATTAGCTGTGTGACCCTGGGCAAGTCACTTCACCGTTGGCCTGTTTCCTCCTCTGTAAACTGTATCTTTGCCCCAAAGGGGGTCATGAAGGGTCAGACACGACTCACGCCAGATCGTAGCATCTTGGAAAGGAATCCCCATGGACGGGAAAGGTTTTGTTTTATTATCCTCTACAGGCCCTTTGTTCCATGGTCATTAATATCACTCCGTAGTTTGGGTATGAAAGCAATGAAGGGTTTTATTAATGCAGGGCACATAAAAAAAGCTTTGTATTTGGACTCAAAAGACATGGGTTTGAATCCCTGCTCTTATACTTATTACCCTTTTGATCTTGGGAAGTGAATAGAATTTTAAAACCAGAAAAGGACTATGGGGATTATTATCTAACCCTCTCATTTTGAAGATAAAGAAACTGAGCCCAAAGAAGATAAATGGTTTATCCCTGGTTACTCAGTGTTTGGTGATGTATTTGGAACAAATAACAGATTATATACATACATACATATACACACACACATACACATATGTATGTGTGTGTGTATTTGTATGTTTAAAGGGAAGTCCCTGCTTGGAAATGTGGCAACTTCTCTACAACTTAAATTGGTAGAAAGGTGACAGGTTAAGTGATTTGTCCACGGGCACACAGGTAATCTATGTCAGTCACAGCTTGAATCTGGGATTACTGATTCTAAGGCCAGTCAGTCCTCTAATTACTACCCATGCCATTTTCATATATTGTATTTTGAGTTACAAAACAGTTTACAAATGTTCTATTGTTCACTCCTCCCAATAACCTTGTGAAATATGTGTGGTGATTAAAAAGACTAAGATACATGGTTTCTACCTAATTTAATCATTTTGTTAATAAGGCCAGCACCTCATTTGGCCGAATCAGGGCAGTGGGCTGACAGTTCATATACCCTTTTAAGAGTAGGTGTTCTTGAGGGGTGGCAGTCAACTCTGATTGGTTAACACAACGGGAGGCAGGCTGTATTAAAACGAGGTGCCAAGAGTGAGGTCGGTTTCAGCTTTAGACGGAGTATTTCTATAGGCCGACCACACCAGCCTCGGCCTTCTGCCTGAGCCAGCCTGAGCAGAACCCAATAGCTACCCCTACCCGTATCAGGGTGAGATCTTAGTCCAATCTTACTATCAGCAGATGTTCTTTAAGAGACTGAACTTTTTAAAATCAGGTCTTTGGAAGAAAGGGAGAACTCTGGATCTCCCCAAATTATTGGCTATTAATAATCATTTCTCTCATAGGTAATCTTGATAGTTTCATTTACAGATGAGGGCTTCCTCAGAGCTATCTGGCTTCTGACAGAGGTGGTACCTGAGCCCAGGCTCTCTGACTGAAATGGCAGGCTCCCTTTCTAGTAGGACTAGGTAGTTTTTATTTTCCGTTTAGTTATTTTTTAGGGAGGCAATTGGGGTTAAGTGACTTGCCCAAGGCCACACAACTAGTATGTGTCTGAGGCTGGATTTGAACTCAGGTCCTCCTACTCCAGGGCAGGTGATCTAGTCACTGCACTACCTAGTCTTTAAAAGTCCATTCCTGCTCTACAAAAATACTGATTCCATGAGTATAAGTCTTTATAAGAAAGAGTATACAGAGCAAAATTTTTTTTTAGATAGGAAGGAAACACCATCTTCATAGGAATAATTTAATAGTTTCTAAAACAGATTAGGAGTAGTTGAAAAGAGTGCTCAAATAACAGGAGGGGGGAGTCCATACAGCCCATCATTCTATTACAATGCAAAAAGAAAGTCAAGATACATTTCCATTTGTAATTCACTTTTAATAGTATAAACCTCATTTAGGTAGTAGTATTAAGCCACAACAATATAATGCCACATTTAAACAGCATTTAATAAAATGCATAAGCTAATTCATGCACTGCAATACTCTATATACAAACACAACAATGCAAATTCCTCTTCATGTCTTGAAGACACTGATTAGATTATAAAATTCAGATAAAAAAACATGCTATATTATTTTTTTAGATGCCATCACACGTACAAAGTCGATTTCTACAAAGCTGGGAGAAAGCAACAGCCTCCAGCAGGTTTGAAACCTGGCATTCAAATGTAACGGCGTAAACACCGCTTGCAACGCAGAGGAGCGGAAGTTACAGAAAAGTCCCGAGGCAATGCACGCCCGACAGGTGGAGCAGCGCTATTTGGCTGGTCTGAGGATGCAGCCTCAGGCGCAGCTCAGGCCAGGGGGCGAGCTTGGGCCCACAGAGAGGGGACGGGGTGTCAGTCCTAAAACCAGGGCGGGGAGGGAGGTTACAAAGTCTTCTGGAGAACAGAGGGCCGCTCTAGGAACAGTCCAGCGCTTGAATTTTATGTGACAGCCGCATTGATTTTCATGGTGCCATGGTCACCTAAACGATTGTTCTATTTTTCCGCAATACCATCCTAAAACACTAAGCCGACATTCGAAGAATGCACGCTAGTCGATCTGCTCCGGCATAGCTTCCTAGGTGCTACGTGTATGTAAATACACAAAACAAGCACTTTAGACTTCCGGGGTTAATCGAAAACATATCCAGCCACTAAAAAAGAAACCCAAACTCTGCCACACTCTTCTTTTCCCACCCATCACACCACTCTGGACGTGAGTGCCTTCTCTTTAAAATCTAGTTATTTATTCTTTGAAATGGTCTCAGCAGGATCAATTTACTTTTAAAGGAAATTTGTTTTTTTTTAAAATTGGATTTAGAGTCATCAAAATTTCATTTTTTGTACATCTCTTCTCACTCACCTTCCCTTAGAAAGAGTCAATGGGATGACTGTTATTAAAAAGGATAAAACCTAAAATGCTGAAAACTAGTAACCCCACAGCCTCCTCTGATTAGAGATAGCCATGATTTAGGATTTTCTCATAAAGTGCCTGAACAATTCAATCGTCTCTGTCGCAATTTGTTTTATGTTAAAAAAAAAAAAGTATGTGATTCTCTCTCTCTCATTTCTTCACAGCCACTAATATGTTTGTTCCAGCATGCTGCCTTTTACATATTTTTTGTAAGCCAGCTTCCCATAACTGAATTCAGCTACAATGTTGCCATCTTTTTTACTGTACCATGGTTGATGGAGAGGATAGTTTTCTCCTTAGGTGTAAGTTCTTTTAAATCCACATGACTTTTTTTTTTTAAGCATTAGTGTGGAATCTGACAGAGATAGTTCTGCATTTATCATTATGGGTACATACACAAAGCAGTTTTAGAGCCATTTGTGGCTTTGAATTTAAAACTAAGCATAATTACGGGCAGAAAACTCCTTCAGCTGACTTCAGGTGACTAAATGGGATTTCAGTTTGGTAGCTAAACAAAGTGCTACATAAAAGTCAACAGTGGTAACAATATTCACACCTTTTTTCCTTCCCCCAAAAAGGAATACTTGATTGAAAAAAAATATGTCACCTTTCAGAACTGCCCCTGCTTAATTCATTTTTTTTCCTGCTCGCTCCCCTTCCCTGACCTCTTCCAACCCCTCCTCATCTGGAACATTAGAGAGAACAGCTACCCTCAGCAGACATATTCATCATGAAAGGATCCTTCTGACTGATGCACCAGCAAGAGTGGAAAACCAATACCACACTTGGGAGCTGAGTCCACATCATTGAAATAAGCTACTCTTCATCACTGAATCTGCAAATGTTATTTTTTTAGGAGAATTCCTGCAGCTGGGGTGGGTTATTGCCAGTGTGCTCTGGGAAATGGAGAAGTTTGTTCACACACCACATCCTCCTGTTCTTCCAGTTAGGCACTGAAGAAAACAGGGAGAAAGACTATTCTAGATAGAGTAAACTAGAATGCTCCTTCCCCAATGCCCTCTGAACTCAAGCCATTATCCTCCACTATATAGTATAGATAGGGAATAGATGGACATGTGCATTCTACTGGAACAGTTTTTATTTCATCTTTTTTTTTTAAACTTGTACAGTTAGGACTTAGCTAACTTTTCTTTCCCTGGGTGGTGTACTGCCCCCCAAAGCAACCACTCAAATAAGAAAAATATAAAAAGGTTTAGGAAAACCTCCAATGCTGAGGGATTGTATAAACATTGAAGACAATTTAGCTCATATTAGCAACTCAATCATAAACTCTCTTTAAACATAAAAATGTTTGAATACATGGCTACGTATCTGTATACATAATATACATATATAAACATACACACATATTTACACTGTACATATATATAAGATATAAACACTTATAAAGTCATTCATTCATACACACGTACATACAAATCTGTACACATACATAGTTGCTGAAGTGATTTCTAGTACAGGACATGCAGAAATGCACAATTTTGGGAGGCACAAAAGAAGATATTTATAAACCTGCATACAAAACCACCCCACCCCCACATAGCCCCAAGTCTATTAGGGCTCTCTCTCTTTGTCTTTAAATCTGAGTTAAGATATTTCTTTTAAAAAGAATCCCCCATAATCCAAAGGGTTTGAAAAAGTGAGATAGGAGGAAGCACGCAGAGTAAGTATTCTACCCTGCCAACTGGGACCAAAAGGTAGTCACCTCATAAGGAACCAAGAACCTGCTCCAATTAAGCTACATCAGGAGATGGTGCTGTGGAGTCCAAGAAATGTTGGGGGGGAGAGGAGGGTCACTGTAATGTATCTACAATGGAAAATAGGGACAATTCACACCCAGACTCTACTCCCAGGAAGAGGTCTAGCTACCAAAATAGAGAACTGTTTCTGAACTGGAGCTATCCTGGATTCAAAAAAAAAAAACACCTACATTATACACATGTGGTATGGAACAAATCATGGATTGTAAGAAGGATCTCTAATATAATTTTGCCAGAAGGATAAGGATTTTTTTCCCCCAGACTAAATGCACTACACATATCCAGACCTTTTACAGCTCTGTGCATCAACCCTAGAAGTAAATTAAAAATCTAGGTCTGTAGTGTGTACACAAATAAATTATATGACAGGATGCTAAAGCATAAAGACACCCATAGTAGAATAGATACAGCCACACTGTCATTAGCCTGCCATCTAAAGCATCATAAACCTAAAGTTAATTAACATTTAATACTGACTCTGAGAGAACCTAAAAAAATCATCCCCAAATCGGAGAATTATAGAACACATCTAACACACAATATACCTTAAGTTGCAGGAAAAAAAAACACAACCCAACACAACCTCAAAACTCATCACATTCTTGGAAAAGGACTGGACAATAAATAATATTTTAAAAAAATCTTCATAACCACAAATTTCATAACTAGAAAAATGATGTTACATTTACTAAAAATGCTTTCTTAGTCTTGTTTTTGGAATTCTGAGCTTTGTAAAACCTAAGAGAAATGGGAAACTGTAATTCTTTTCTTATATGATTTAGACCACTCCAATCTTTTTTTCCAAGTGTCAGTACCACTGCCTTTTAAAACCCACTGGTGCTATCACAGTCTTCAAAGCAAGGTTTTATTTAACAGAAGAAGTTCAGGGCATGTGTTTGTGAAGGCCACGTCTATCTACTGACTCTCTGGAGAGAGTCCTTTTTCAGGCAAGCCAAGAGTGGCAGAGCAGAGGGCAGTGATTGGAAGCCTGGCTGATAGGGCCATGGTGTAAATATCATCAAAGATTTTGCCTCTTTGGTCCTCTAGTTGAGCTTAAGGGTGTTCAGGGTCAAGCTTCTTTCGAGATTTTCTCTCAAGTGTCTCCCCTCGCCACCCCCTCCACCCCACTCCCAATCAGAGAAGCAGGCGGTAGCCCTCCCTGCATTCAGGTTTTAAGAAAATGCTTGGAAGCACTCATTCTCTTGAATCAAATTTCTTCCTGGTAATTTCTATGTACTTGGTTTACAGGATGCAATCATTTCTCCTATCACCCAGATGCCACATCTTTCTTTAAGTGGAGGTACTGAACTTCTGAAGTGAGTGGCTTTTTTTTTTAAACTTAAGGCATATTCTATTATCAGAAAGGATATCAACTTCATGTTTCCTAGGTATATGACTGCACTTTATCAGAATGTTTATGTGTGGAACTGGGGGAAATGTCTCATAAATTGTAAAAGAAAAAGAAAAAAAAACTAAGTGTTTGTGGCTCTATCCCAGGAAACTAAGTAACAGCTAAATGTTAACTATCTGGCCACTGTTAAGACCACTCTCCATCTTGAAGGGATTCTGTTTATCAATGTAGATTAAAAGGACTTCACTGTCTGGAGAAACCTTTCATTTCTACCATTCAGATTACTTAGTGGATAGAGAACTGATCTCTCTTCTTGCTAAATTTAGTATTTCATGAGCTCTATTAATAAGCAATGGTAATAACTTAAGGGTCAAAGTTTGAGGCCAATCTTTTGGAAGGAATTCCTTAAAAGAAGTCATGACCCATGAGTGTTTTTCTCTGCCCAACTGCGGAAAATAAAGTGACTATCAAGGCTATTTTGACCTAGGCTCTAGTTTAGACAATTTCTGATAGGACAGAATTTAAGTCATTCAACTGAAATAATACCCATGGAAAATTATTCTTTGATAATTGAACCAAGAAGACTCTGGTCGTTAAGGAGAATGTTTCAAAAACTTAAAATATTTTGTTTCCTTAGAAGCAATTTGGTCAGCACTGTCAGGGATGTTTAAATACTGTAAACAAAGAAAGACCTAAAGTGACTTGTCTCTGCAGGCACTATGAAGTCACTGTAGCACAAATCCTCACCTTTTTAAAGGTTGCTTCTTTACCCAAAGTGTTAGCATCTATTCCATTCTTCTGATAGAGTTGAAATAACTTTGGCTCTGGGGACATTATTCTAAGTCTTATGATGGCCTAACTCCAATTTGATAAGACAGTTTTAATCAAAACAACATAATGAAAATGGAAAGCACGTCCCACCCCCAACCCTCAAATGAAATAGGAATCAGGTGAACTAGCATGCGTCAACAATTGCTGTCTCATCACTGATCAAAACCACTACCAACAGGGAGCTCAGAGCCAATACGCCTCATGAAAGACTCAACACAGACGCTGTTCTTCTAGAACTGCCCCACATGCTCATTAGTGTGCCTGCGTTTAAAAAGGGTATTATTTTTTGTGGGATAACCTATTGGTTACAAGTGTTATCTACCAACATCCTTTATACTGATACAGACAGCCATCAACTTCATTATTTTGGCCAAATTTCCTTCATCATTCAAAACATTGGGGAGTCAATAAAAACAAAACAAAATAAACCTTACCAAAAGCAGAAAAATTCTATTATTTCCCCTTATATTTACATAACTTTTAAATGGTCACATTTAATACCATGAGGTGTTCCACCAAAATTGGAGTTTAGAAGTGGGGGCTGATGTCTTAAGTAGATGAATTTCCCACTAACAATGGCTATCTTAAAGACTGGCTAATACTCAATTTTGGTTGACTCTGAACTGACTCCAGAAAGCTACGGCAACTTCTAGCTCATTTAACAAAGTGGCCCAGGGGACAACAGGGATGCCTGTGTTAGTGCCAGGGATGATTAGTTTTCTCTTACACCTTGTACATAATACTGGGCAGTTAATTTGTCCAATTGTTATGAAAAGAGAGCTACTGGAATGTGGCAGATCAAAATGAGGAATAAGCCGTACCTGTGAGCCAAAGGACAAGTGTGGCCAGGGAAGAAGTCTTAATGATGAAACCAGTGTAACTTTGCTAGCTACTTAAAGACAACATTCATTACCTCAAAAGAGTCATCTGCGATCGCTAATAGACCCATCTGTCAAGGGACACAACACTAAACTCCACATTACAGGGTGTTTTTTCTTAATTTGCATGAACACAAAAAGGGAACAAAAAGTGGTGAATCTACAATTTTGCCCTTATTTACATCCTTCTGAATTAATTTAAACGCTCTATCTGGACATCACCTAGGGCTGTTAATTTTTTAAAGTAACAGTGGACACATTCTTTGCTTGATCCTTACACCCAGGAGCCCAAGGTGTGAAACAGGCCACTATAAAAACAGGCCCACAAAGTGCACGTTAGGTGCCGGTGCGCTCACCTCAGTGACTGGCCTTACACATACAAAGGTTACATTTTATCAAAGCAGTTTGATGAAGACACAATAAAAACAATATGACTGGTGTCTGAATGACAACAGAGAAAATCCCCAGTCACTCATTCTATTCAGTTTAAGTAGGAACTTATCAATACCAAATTAACATCCTGATACTTCTGGGTTACTTCTCCAGTACAAAAGCCAAAGACATTAGTAACCTTAATACAATTAATTAGTCATTAACTGCAGGAGCACATGATTTTTTAAAAATAGCCAATATTCTGAACGCCAACCCAAATGGGACATCAATGTAAAATGAAATGGGAGAATTCAGGGAATGGAGGCAGGGGGAGGAAAACTTTCTACTCATCTGATTCTGTTTATCTGGGACTGATCAAAGAGGCACTGTGGGCCTGCAGAAGCCGACCAAATGCCCACTGCACTGTGGAGCCAATAGGAGGAAGGAATAGATTGGGGATACGTTCAGTTACTGGAGAGGCTGAACATCTATCTTGGCAGTTAATCACTGACTAATTGCATTGCAATCCAGAGAGCCAGCTAGTAAAAGAAGCCGTGGCTCTGTGGTCATGTTCACGTCTCCACAGGGCTCGTGACCACTGACCGCTCTTGCAGGGTCAGTGCTGTGGCAGTCATTCAGCCGCTAATTGTGCTGTAGACCTGCTGCAAATAAACCACATTCTCAGTAGCTGTGAGGACCTTCAAGATGCACACCACCACCATGTGCATCCAAACTCGCAATGCCTTTTTGCCTTAGGTAGAAATGATTGTCTCTTTTTCTGTCCCTCCTCTAAGTTTTCACAGAAGTTATCAGCATTTTGGCCAAGGATATACATCATTTTCTCCTTGCCTATTCACAGGCAGGATGCTGATAACATTATGAAGTGGACAAGAAGTTCTCAGAAAGTGCTTATGTCATTACCCTGGTAATTAACTGCTAAACATTCCCAAGGGCCCTGGTATATATGCATATACAGATATGGTTTTCAGTATTCTTTAATACTAGTCTCCGACGTTAGAAAACTTTTTTTTGCCCTCTGTCAACTTCTAAGTACAAAGTGAGTTAAAAGGTTGCTCAGAAATCTGACACCTTATTTGTTTTTTGTTTTCAGAAATCAAAAGTCATTAAAATATTCCTTGTGGCAGAAAAGGAGCCTAGGCTTTCAGTAGCTACTGTTGGGGCCTCCTAGATGAAGAAACCAGGTAGGAAATGGTTAATATACGGGAAATATCTGTACATACCAAAATATCCCTATTTTTATTTTCTTTTTATCTTAATGGTGTGGTTACTGGTTCTATGAAAATTATTTTGATCCATGAAGATGTGTTGTTCCCACTATAAGTTCGTTCCTGTTATCTGGCCGTTGTATTCTGCAGTTTCCATTTTCAGAATGTAGGGGATTATGCTGTCTATTGAAACGTTGCCTATGAGACCGGTAAAAAAAAGTTCTTCAGTAATGCTGGAGCTCATCAGCCTAAGCGCTGGGAGACGAACAAGAATCCGAGCCAGCCTGGAAGAGAAATGCACTGCATTAGGAAAATGAGACTCTGTAGGCATCACAGCTAGAAAGGGATGGTCACTGTTACTTTGGGGCCTCTTCCTCCTTCTTTGGGTTGTTGCTTCTTTTCATAGCACTGTATCTTTATTTTAAGATATACCAGAGCAGGGGGGCAGCTAGGTGGTGCAGTGGATAGAGCTCCAGCCTTGGAATCAGGAGGACCTGAGTTCAAATCCGGCCCCAGACACTTGACATTTACTAGCTATGTGACGCTGGGCAAGTCACTTAACCCTGACTGCCTTGCCAAAAAACAAAACAAAAACAAAAACACCACCTTCCCCCCCAAAAAAAAACCCAGAAAGATACCAGAGCGGCCCTGGCTCTACAGAGGTGGGAATCCTCTCTGCTATCACTAGAGGCCAGTGCTCTTCACCCCAGCTTGAATCACGGATTGCTGTGGCTACAAAACATCCATCTTGGTGATTAGCCTTGCTCATAACTTAGCTAGTTTGGTCCTTAGATGACAGTCACAAAGGCTGTAATAAAACTTTTCCTGCTGTTAATGGGAGAGAAAAAAAATGCCTACATTTACTCACCAAGCTAGGTATCACAGAGAGGAGCTACAGTGTAGGAGAAAAACAGCAGTAGGGATAGGCAGTAATTCCTAAGAGACACGTGTGTATACAAATGTGAAAGGTACAGGTAAAAAGCAGTATGGCAAGAGATCCTAACACCAGGAGACACATACAAAGTTACTGCTAAGACTTGGTGGGATGGGACCTGGGATTGGAATGTGGATCAAGGAGGGTACATCTTATCCAAAAGGCACAGGGCGAGTAACAGAGAGAGGAAGCATTATGTATTAAGGAGATAGAGTCATATAGTGAGGAAAACCAGGAACTGGAGGAGGATATTCTAGTGAAGATCAACAGGGGCGGAAACAGAGCTGATAATGCCATCAGAAGAGACTACAGACCACCTGGAGGGAAGGAGGAAACAGAGAAAGGTACTTGAGAAACAGATCACATATACCTCTTTACAGCACTTGCTCTACCAAAGCCAGATCAGCTAACAATGTATTGACATGCATTACTGGTCATTTAATTTTTCAAAAATGGAAGGACCAACAAAGCAAACTTAATTCTAAACCTGATGCCCATCCAAAAAGAATAACTGGTTGTTAGGGTAGAAATGATGGGAACTTTGAGAAAAGTGGAAGTGACTGCTCCATCTGTTTCATGACAAAGAAGGAGGGGAAGGATGGGCCTACTCTGATATGCAAGCCAGATTTGGGGAGAGCACATTTTTAATGGTTCAGAGGAATGGTGGCCTCAGATGGCTGAAAAACTCTCAATATTGAAATTCTTATGATATAAAGAAACAAGTTCCAAAAAAGGAGAAAAAGGGAGGCCTGTCTAAGGATATAGGATATAATCAATCAACTAAGATTTTAAAATGACATGTGCATCAGATACAAGCCAGGTCAAGTAATAATGAATTCCAAGTCATGGACTGGTCCTATATAGAAGAACAGTGTCAGGAGGGCTAAAACTCAGAATGAGCTAGGGCTGGTCAAGAAGGGTGGACAACAAAAAGGACTTTTTATGTTCTCTGCAGACACCAAAGTAGGGATAGGACAGAATGATGACATTAGACAACAATGGTCCTGTTTCTGTTTTTCTCTACCAAGTAAAAAGATATTTGGACTAAAAAAGACGGGAAAAAAATGGCAGAGACCCAAGGAAAGAAGAAACTTAGTAAGAGAATACTTTAGCTGCCTTTGATGAATGCAAGTTGCTGGGCCTGGGTGAACTACATACCAGGCATGGCAAGAATTGGCAGATAGGACTGTGATTATCAGACTATCAGTGATATTTGAAAAACCTGAAGAAAAAGAAATGCTACAGGCCTGGAGAAGGACAAATATTATAAAAATTTTCAAAAAAGGGAGGTGAATGGAGTTAGCAAAAAGGCAGCAGAGTAGTGGACAATTACTGGATTTGGACTGAGAGAAGCTGGGATCAAATCACCCTGCCTTGGGCAATCACTTAATCTCTAGGGGCCTCATCAGTAAAATGAGGAAGTTACACCAGATGACTCTGAAGGCTCCTTCTGGCTCCAACTGTATCATCCAAATGGAATACTGGGCCAAATCTAGTATCCTGAAATTTAAGAAGCATAAGTGCAAAGTCTTATAACTGGGTTAAAAATCAACTTACATACAAGTAGGTAGAATGTGGCTGTAACAGTTCATTTGGGGAAAAAAAAAGGGGGGGTGTAAGGAAGGGTTTAGTGGGCTGAAAGCTGAGTGTGAACTGACAGTGTGGTCTGGGAACCAAGGGTGTATCGGAAGGCACAGCATCTAGGACTTGAGACAGATCAGTCACCAAGTACTTATGGAACATCTGCCCTAGGCCAGGAACCACGCTGGGTGATGGACACACAAAGAAAAAGTGACAGTCCCTGACATCGAGTCCCCATTTTTCAGGGGGTGATATGAGAGACAACAGTGACCCAGGAGCTTTGGTGCAGTGGAAAAAAGCACTGGCTGTGCAGGCTGAGGACCTGGATTCGAATCTTCCACACTTCACTACAGCGAGGCAGCAGGACTCCAGGGAAAGTACACTGGTGCTCTCTTTTACTTTGCACTTTCTTGTCTGCATCACAGCTTCCTGAAGGTCCCTGCCTCCCCCACTTCTTGGCTGCGTGGCCTTGGGTAAGTCACTTCTTTCAAGGTTTCTTCTGTAAAATGAACGGGCAATGACAGTGTCACTTCCAGCTTGAAATTCTAAGAGCCAAAATGACACTGCCTCTGTGACAGTTACCACTGACCTCAGAGAAGGGTTGGTGAGACCAAGCGAGCAGGGACTCAGTAAATGCCACCAAGTGAAGAACACTGGGCTATTTCTAAATAATTAAATACTTACTCCAAAGATGACAACTGGCCACCACTGAGGACATTACAAAGGATAAGACTGAAATTAACTCCCAATGAAGAGCGCCAGTGATGCTTTGGGAAATGGGAGCCTCTGGAATAAATGGGAGTCTCCCAATGGGATAACACATTTGAACAGATAAGTTCTGGTGATTATTAAAAAAAGTTACTTGAAAGTCACACCTTAGTTAATCTGATAATAAGTCCATATGATTTATGGTTGGAAGAAAACTCAGATATTATCTAGCTCAAACTCTTCATTTTACACATGTAGAAAATGAGACCCAGAGAGAGTGGCAGAGTCAGGATCCTCTGGTTCCAAAACAAGTACTGCGACTTCCAGAGTCCTCCTTATTTTTTCTTGGACAGATTTAGAATGAGGGCCCAGGAAGCAAAGGGAGCACCACTGTATCAGTGCGGCCACTGGACTTGCCACCCAAGACTAGAGAGCCCCAGTCCTCATTCCCCAGCCAAAGCAGAATTACGGCCATATCTGGGTCTCTCAGTGACTGTAACATGACACCCATGTTCAGACTTGTACTGAATAGAGTTCTTTACAGTGACCTTACACACTCTAATTTGTAATCAATCAATAGACAAACATTTATTAAAGTGTCTACTATGTACCAAGCACTGTGCTAAGCCCTAGGGATAGAAAGATTAAAACAGGCCCTCCTCTTAGGGAGGAGAGAGAGAGAGAGAGAGAGAGAGAGAGAGAGAGAGAGAGAGAGAGAGAGAGAGAGAGAGAGAGAGAGAATGTGTGTGTGTGTGTGTGTGTGTGTGTGTGTGTGTGTGTGTGTGTACACGCACATACACAAAAAAAAGCAAAATTAAAACAAGGTAGTTTTTTCTTTTTTTGTGGAATGGGGAAGGCACAAGCAGCTGGGAGGATCAGGAAAGACTACATGAAGAAGCTGGCACCTGGCATAAGCTTTGAAGACATCTAGATTTTATAAGAGTGAAAAATAAGCTGGGAGTGCACTCTGGGTGCCACCAGGGGTACTGTCAATGTCAAGGTAGGGAGGTAGGACACAGACTGTGTTGTGAGAGGAAGAGAAAAAAAAAAGCCACTTTGGCTGGCCTGAAGAGTACATGAAGGGGAGTAATACAGAATAAACCTGGAAAGGTCAGCTGAAGCCAGGCAGTAAAAGGCTTTAAATATCAAATGGAGGAGTCTGTACTTGATTATAGTGGTAACAGGAGCCAATGGAACGAACTGAAAATCAATTTTAGCGGGGGGAGATGACCTGTGCTCTCAGAAAACCACTTCAGCAGCTGTCTGGAGGACAGATTTGGAGGCAGGGAGACCAATTAGGAAGCTCTTTGTGCAGGTGAGAGGCAATGAGAGCCTGTACTACGGAGTATGCACAGTGTCCCAGAGTCCTGGTTCTAACAACAAATCCTAACTAGCAAAAAAATTAGGTGTGATAATAACTTGTCATTTGAACAATTTCACAAACTTGTCCATGAGTGAGGTTACTGTTGTTCCTACTTGTAGACCCCCATTCCTTTGTAGAGGAATGATTTCACTTCTTTTGGTGAAATACATCCATATATCAAAAGATGTTGCCTTAAGGTCATAGCTCTTTGGCCAGTCACCCTCTATCTTTTTTTTTTTTTGGTTAGGCAATGGGGTTAAGTGACTTGCCCAGGGTCACACAGCTAGTAAGTGTTATGTGTCTGAGGCCGCATTTGAATTCAGGTCCTCCTAAATCCAGGGCCGGTGCTCTATCCACTGAGCCACCTAGCTGCTCCCACTCACCCTCTATCTTGAGGCCTTTTACTAGAACAGCCTATTCTGAGCAAAAGGGATCCATGTGAGACTCCAAATCCTACTCATCATAATAAAATGCTAGTGCTGGGAAGGAACTTCAGGAGTAATTCACTTCCAATTTCTCATTTTACCATGAAGAAGACTAAAGACCCACAGTTAGCTAGTAGTGGATAAAGAACTAGAACTCAGGTCTTTGGATTCCTGATTCATTGATTATCCCACTACATCACACTACTAAAAGCATATTACCATAACAAGAGTGAATAAAATTATAATGACATAATCATGTTCACCATCTGCTAAGCAACTTTAACTTAATGTACATTTGTAATGAAACTCTGAAGCCTGAAGTCATTTACTATCCAGATTCTGAACTTGTTAAAATCATCTCCAGTTCCCCCAGATCAGCATACTTATGTTTATGTACCTGTATGTATCTTCTGAATAGGTTTTCTGCACATAGTCCTGTAACTCCATCTGTGCTTTCTCTTGGAATTTTTCTATTTGGCTTGTACTGGCCAAACCTGGATGATCTGAAAGTGGAAAAGAAGGACCCAAATTTTTAATTATTTAAAACAGAAAGCTTTTCTGCAGAATAACTTAAAATATTTCCAGCCCAGTTTATTATAGGGAATATATTCAGAGACATGGTAAAATACTGTATTATGAAGAGTTCTGAGATAAAGAACATAAAATCAGTCTCTATTCCAAAATATAATTAGGTACTATTAGGCATAATTACCTATTTTGAATATATTTACTCACACCATTTTACCACTTCCTTCTTCCTTTTAACAATATTTTACTACTAAGAGGGCCTAGATCAAGGGTAGGGAGAAGGAAGAAAGAGAGAAGAATTACTTTGGCAAACTGTTGTTAACTGCTGTGGGGAAAGAAAAACCTAATCACTGCAGCTCAAAACATCATTTCATTTAATATCAAAAATGTTATACAATATTTATAAATTTCTTTAGAAAAATTCTGTGAAGTCTTGCTCTTTATCAGAGCAAGTTTCTCTGATAAAGACCTCATTTCTTAAGTATACGGGGAACCGAGTCAAATTGGTAATATGAACCAGTTGCCAATTGATAAATGATCAAAGGATATGAGCAAGCAGTTTCCAGAAGAAGAAATCAAAGCGATCTATAGTCATATGACAAAATGCTGTAAATCGCTATTCATTAGAGAAATGCAAATTAGAACAACTCTGAGGCACCAACTCATATCTATAAGAAATGACAAAGGCTGGAGGGGATGTGATAAAATAGGGACACTAATGTACTGTTGGAGCTGTGAACTGATCCAAATATCCTGAAAAGCAATTTGGAACTATGCCCAAAGGGCTATAAAACTGTCTGTATCCTCTGACCCAGCAATACCACTACTAGGTCTGTACCCCAAGGAGGTCAAAGAAAAAGGAAAAGAACTCATAATATATACAAAAATATTCACAACAGCTCTTTTTGTGGTGGCAATGAACGGAAATTGAGGGGATGCCCATCAACTGGGAATGGCTGAACAAGTTGTGGCAAATGACTGTGATGAAGTTCACTTTTCTATAAGAAATGACAAATGGGAGGCAGCCAGGTGGTGCATTGGTCCTGGGGTCAGGAAGACTTGAGTTCAAATCTGGCCTCAGACACATGATACTCACTAGCTGTGTGACCCTGGGCAAGTCACTTAACCTTGATTACCTGGCCAAAAAACAAAAAAAAAGGAAATGACAGGTATGATGGTTTCAGAAAAAACTGGGAAGACTTATATGAACTGATACAAAGTGAAGTGAGCAGAGCCAGGAAATCACTGGACATAGTAACATCAATACTGTAATGATGATCAACTGTGAAAGACTTAGCTACCCTGAACAAGACAATCATCCAAGACAATGCCAAAGGACTCATGATGAAAAAATGCTCTCCACCACCACAGCGAGAAGTGATGAACTCTGAGTGCAAACTGAAGCATGATTTTCTGGCTTTCTCTATTTTTCTTGCTTCCCCCCATATGGCTAATGTGAAAATATGTTTTGCATGACTTCATATGTATAACTGATATAACTCTATAAGCTCGCCTTTTAGTGGGTGGGGAAGGGCAGAAAGGACTATAAAATTCAAAACTGTTAAAAAATGCTAAAAATAAATAAATTTTTGAAAGTGAAAAACACACATCATGTCACTTGAAGAAGCCACTTGGTCACAGCAGCTGAAGCCAGGTGACTTAAACACATACGTAGGCAGGAAAGAGGTCATTCAGAACGCTTAGGAACTCACTAGACATACACACTAAAAATCTGATGGAAGCCTTGTAGTAAGTCCTGCACGTTATCTTACCAGGGCTAAAGAGTACGATTGCCTTAAGGTATGCATATTCATACCCATCGATATCCAGCTTAGCCATACTGTTGCAAAACTCCTGAAGTTTCCAGATGTGTTCCATGACTTGCTTTATTCTGTCACCAGAAAGTTTATCTAGAAAGCAAAAATGAAATCCTCTAAAAAAGGCAAACTATACCTTTGAATGTAACCAAAGAGGTACTTTTTTCTTCTTTTATGAAGAGATCAAAAGAAACTAGGAAATAATTTAGATTTTAATTAAACACAAATTTCAACATTTTCAAATCCAAATATTTGAACTGAGACAAAGTGCAAGGAGGAAGAGTGATAATTCAGAGTGCAGAGGATTTGTCTTTTTTGTTTGTTTGTTTTTGCTTTTAGGCAATTGGGGTTAAGTGACTTGCCCAAGGTCACACAGCTAGTGTCAAGTGTTTGGTCTGAGGCCGGATTTGAACTCAGGTCCTCCTGACTTCAAGGCCAGTGCTCTATCCACTGCGCCACCTGGCTGCCCCTGAGGATTTCTATCTTGCAAAGTAACTGTCACCATTCTTGCCAAAACACTCTCCTAACATTCAGAGGGCTCCTAAAATTTCCATGATTCTTATCATCTTGAGGAGTTAACAGCTTTTCACAATATTTTCTTTAGTCATCAAAGGTTCTCTCTGATCCCCACTTTAATAATGTACTTATGCTGTGTGAGGTTAACATACATCTATTATTTTTATTTTATTCCCAAGTTCTAGGAATATTAGTCTACATTAGTGTTACTTGTTTTAATTTTTAATTTCTCAAGAGTGGCAATCAGCTATGTTCTTTTAGTCCTGGGACCTCTGCTATTTTCTCACTATAATCTCTGATTTAAAGAGCTTATCCTTTCTTACACACACACACACACACACACACACACACACACACACACACACACCAAAAGCAAACTTTCCTTGTTTATTCAGCATTGTCAAATGAGATACTATGTGTAAAGCACATACTATGTAAATATTAATCCTTCTCTCCCTAAACTCTGGGTCACTGCCTTTATAATGAGTTCTTCTTAGAATTTAGGTAACATATGTGATGATTTTATAGCATCACAGGATTGGGGGTTGGAAAGGCCCTGAGATATGATCTAGATCAACTTCTTGTCCCCCCCCATGCATGAAGAAGGACGCAAACCTAAGTAAGGCCTCTCATTACAAATTGAGTTCTCTTCCTATCTTGCTTCTCTTCTCCCAACTCCAATCTGTCCTTTATGCCACTAATGAGAGAGTCTCCCTTATACATTTGCCTGGTTATGCTATTCCTTCTCTGAATAGACATCTTCAGTGTTCCCTTCATGAACTCTCTACTCAGTACAAATTCCTTTTCCTGGAATTCAAGGCCCTCCACAATATGGAGCTACCTGTCTTTTCTCATCTTATCCCATTCCTATCCCCTGTACCAAAACAGATCATCTATTCCCTGAACACATCCTCCCTTCTCCTGTCCATTAGGCCTTAGTTATGCTCTGCCCTGTGACTGTATGAGTCTCTCTTCCCCTTTTTACTACAGGCTGAGTAGTCAGTTTTTTTGCACTGTGGTCCAGTGGAAAGAAAATTGAAGTTGGAGATGACAGTAGAGAATGGGTTGGAATCTGCCTCTGCTATTTTTAAGCTATGTGACTGATTCTGTGAGCTTCAAGTTCCTCATCTGAAAAATGGAGATAATCACATCTGGAGTTATTTACCTCACTGGATTATTGTGAAGCTCAGATGACATCATATTATGTTAAGTGCTTTAGAAAAATGTAAGGTTCTATATAAATGTCAGTTAGTATTATTATTAGACTAGGTTGCTAATATTATCACTATCATATGCTTTACCAAAAGTAAAATTCATCTCTATAAATTTTCGTGTCACTATTAAGAGCTGAGGGTTGGTAATTTTTTTCTACTAATAATCTTCCATATTTAGAGGAAATAAGAACAGTTTGTACAAAAACTCCAATGTATGAACTTGGAGTATTCTCTCATGATTAAAATAGCCAAATTAAATTGTTTTTCATTTAAAGAGAAAAAAAATGAATGAAACACTACAGAATTTTAAAGCATGTCAGCAATGGGGCACAGCTCTTGAGTCTGAGGAGCTGTACCTTCCTTAGGAATTGACCTTACTACAAAAGTATATATTATTCTAGGGCTAACCTTCAACTGTGAAAATTGCTGGAAACTAAGGTGCCCAAATACAAACACTTCTGAGAAACTGCAATGATCCCACATACCTTCCTGGATGCTGTTCTGTAGGTGGTTCACAATAGCTGCTAGAATAGTGGAGAGGCTCATTACTTGGGAACACTGGGCCAGGCCCAAGGTGAAGAGCTCGTTCCAGCAGGCACGTACCAGGCTTGTATTACAGTCCTGACTAGAGAGAGAAAAACACATAAAAAAGTTCTTTTTAAAGGAGAGATTGTATATTTTACATTTTCCAGATGTTTCTTCAAATATCATCAATTATTTTAATGATCAACACAGCAGGGCTTTACTTATAACTCTCTTTGTGTATCTTTAAAAGAATTTTTAAAAATGTGCATATCCTCTCTCAAGATGTGTAAGTGTAGACACATTTGGTCAAATCCCAATGTTTTACATTATTTTTATCATTAATACCAACAGCTCACACTTCACAGCACTTTATAACTTTCATTTTTTTCACAAAAACTCTGTGGGCATAGTGCTGTGAGTACTGTTAGCACCATTTTATAGATGTGAAAACGGAGGCTCCTAGGGGTTCAGTGATTTGCACTCAGCAGACTGATAACGATGCTAATGAAGATGACGACAATAACACTTTCTGCACATTTAAGTCCAGTGGCCCTTCTGCCACACTGCTGCAATCCGGTGCCCTGTCACGCACATGTATTCAACTATACCCATGAGATCAGCCCTCGCTGACTCAGCGCACCTCAGGCAGCGGTCAGGTCAAAGAGTACCATTCTTCACATGTGCAGTTTCACAATGATTCTTACCTTCTTCAAATGTCAGTGTAAATGTAGCATTCCAATCCTGCATTTCAATTCTTGAAGACAGATTTCATGTTTTATGTGGGCTTTTAAATTTTATCAAACTAGGCTCCAGATAGCACAAATAAAATCACGCATCCCCGTGAGAAATCCCTCTTCCTTCACTCATGTCAGCTGTGGGCAATCCTAGCTCCTGGGGAGGCTGAGGCTGGGAGGTCTTGGTCTGAGCTGTCATGGGCTATGCTGCTCAAAGGTCCACACTACATTTATAATCAATATGGAGAGCCCTCCGGAACAGACGGGGCCACCAGGTTGCTGGAGGAGGGGTGAATTGGCCCAAGTCAGAAAGAGAGCAAGTGAAAGCTCTGATGCTAATCAAAGTAGGACAAGCCTGGAGGTCTTAAAAATTCTTCAAGAGTAGCTCTCAATATTAGTGACACTGAGATTATGACAGCAGTGCCTACGACCAACAGCAGTGTAGTTTTCCTTCGGAGTAGATATACATTTGGGCCATCTGGCTATCACCAATTAAGATTTATTTTAGCAGCCAGTGCATGCTATTTGATACCCTGTATGATTTATCTCAGAAAACATGGACAACAAAACCTCTTCATTCCTTCTATTATACAGTAAAATGAATCCACTGTCTTCTCACTATGGCCCTACTCTCTGACCATTTCCACTCCATTGGAAACGTGGACTCATCCAAGTCTTGAGCTCAGCTAGGCGAACTTATCAGGGCCAAGGCCTCCATAACACTTGTCAGCCTTGGAGTCCCCTTCCCTTTTACTCCACCTGGCCTCTCCCCCCCACTTTCCAATGCCGCTCATCCAAACGTAAGCTCTGTGGACTATCAATGCTGCTTTTATTTGTATCCCCAGCACTGAGCAAGCAGTAAATAAATGCTCGTTTTCTCCTTCTTTCTCTTCATGAAACCTTTCCTGACAACTGAAATGCTCAGCCATTTCCTCTTTCGTTGGTGTCTTATGCCCAATTATTCACTCTATTATTTATCAAGTACTCACTGTATGTCACTTTGTAACATTTACAGTCATGGAATGCTCGATGTGGAAGACATCTTGGTGTTCATCTGGTCCATGAGAATGTAAGCTTTTGAGATGGGGCTTGTTTCATTGTTTGTACTTATATCTCCACAGGCTAGTACAGTGCCTGGAACACAGTAGGCACTTAATACATGCCTATTGCTTGATCCACTCATTTAAAGAGGAGGAAACTGAGGCTGAGAGATTAGTGGCAGAACTAAGACCTGAGGAGTCCTGACTCCATGATTTCTTAAATTAACAGCTTAAGAAATTATATCATTTTTGATATATGTATGTCTAACCTCCTTGGCTGAGACATTTTTGTATCTTTAGACCTTTCCGTGTACCTAGGAGAGTATCTTGCAAAGGATAGGACACTAACTCTTCAGTGAATGGAAGCAGGACTTCTCACAGAAAAGACATTCAAATGGCAACCTCTGTCCTCTGTGCCATACTTGTTCTCCATGTGTTATCAGCAGAAGAATCTTGGGGTCCCGTGATTCAGGACACACAGTGATTAAATGAATAATCCTCAAAATTAACCCCATCCAGAGAAGAGGTTCACTTACCCAAGGGCCTGAAAGGCAGGAATGGATCTGGCCCAGTGCATTGAGAGGAACAGCAGCCGTGATGCTGACTCACAGATGTAATGCACGTTGAGGTACTCTGGCATCGGGCTAGGCATTGTCAGCTGGGGAGGAAGGAGGCACAAGGCATGCAGTGTCAACAGCAGACATGCAAAGTATTATATTTTTTATTTTTGAAACTGATCTAGTCAGTGTTAAACAATCCTAGAGCCTGCCTTGCATTCTGAGGACAGTGCTTCTGACTTGTAGTCAGTAAGGTCTGAGGTTCTTCAGGCTGTGCTGATCCAGCTCACTCCTCTGCTCCCTCTTTCCAGGGACCAAAGGTTTTTATATTTGAATTAATGACCAGGCTAGCTAACTAGCCACACAGGACCACGATCCTGCTAAGGTATCATCATCATCATCATCATCATCATCATCATCATCATCATGTAGATGGTGTGAGTATCATTATTTCCATCTTGTAGATGAAGAAACAGAGGTTTGGAGAGGTTCTGACTAAAGTTAACCAGCTAATGGCTATAGTATTAAGCTGCTGTATGTCAACAGCTCATGAAGATGTGATGAAAATCTTAATTTAATATAGGGGAAACAGGGCAAAATTCATTGGCAATAGTATTAATAGTACTCATTGACAATGATATCAAAGAAGCTTTGTAGTTGGCTATGAAGTAACATTGAATAAAAACTTATGAAAGACAAGTAATAAAGAATTTCATTTTTGTCTGTGAAAGAGTTTGGGAACTCTAGCTGGATATGGGCTGCTAACAGCTTCTATAACCAATTCCAGGACTGAAAGTAAAATATGTCAATTCAAATGACAGGGGGACAAGAGGGACATATCTGTGGGGTGTACAAGTCATCATCAAAAAGTTTGTGTAACCAGGAAAATTAGTTGTTAATGAACAGAAGGATTCTATCAGGATTTACTGAAAGGTGTAGACTTCAGTCCTTGAAGGTCTCTGGTCCAAGGCAATCTTGGATTAAAGCAAAGGAAGAATTAAAATATGGTACTTTCTCCTTCATAAAAAGGAGACATTCCTGAAATAAACCTTCTGAAGCAAGCATATCAAATGTCAGTTCACTAAAAAGACCTAACTCAAAGGTGGGACTGACAACAATTCAAACCAACCCTGATGAGCCCTCATCACTGAATTATCATGAGGACAGCAAAACCAAGAAGGCAGGCACATACTTTAAAGGTGACATGAGTATCTGTGAGTAGGGGTCCCTCTACTTCGATGATGGGTGTTGACTGATCTCTACTGATGACATGAATGTTTCCTCCTCCTGTAGGATCCATCCCATCTGCTAAGTTTGGTGTTGAAGAGCCATCTGTGGTGTTAAGTGCTTTTGCCAAGGTATCAAATGCCCTGAAAGCAAAAATAAATCATATACAATGTGTGAATCAATAGCCTCCAGAGAGAATAAGTCACAAACTTTGGGCTGCTCCAGGATGACAGGATACTTCTCGACATTTTACACAACACATAAGAAAGCACACTATCATCCTGAATTTTTATGCAGCTTTTTTTCCTGAAGAACTTAAGGTACTGTAAAGTATGAGTCTTGTTCAAATATACAATATACTTTTTAAGTAGGGAAAGGAGGATGAATCATACCAACTGAATGAAGCCACAACCTGGATTCTATTTCTACCTCAGGCTGCAAGCAAATGCGGATCCCAATCTATTCCTCATATTTTTACTTAGAAAAAAAACAGCAAACAACAAGGTAGAAATGACTTGTTTACTTCTGGAGAAAGCCAATGACAAAAATAGCCCGATTATAAGGCATTTGTGATAAAATGTAACAGCAGAATTTTGGGAGAGAAACATACACTCTTTTTGCTTACAAAAGCCTGGAACCAACTAATGCTACTTTGACTCTGATGAGCTTTATAGTTACTTAGGAAAAAGAAAAAGGAAAACTAAGGATAAAACTGAAGAACAACTATTAATAGCAAAATACAACAACAAGGCTGAAAAACTTGCAAGTAATGTTCATTTAGTAAAGGAAATGTATTAAAGGTGTTTTTTTCTTTTTTCTTTTTTTTTTTGCTGTCTGTCACTAATTATGCAATTCTGTTACTTTTGACTGCAACCAGTTTTGATTGAATTGTTCACACAGGGCGAGATTTTAATAACTACTATTTAAAAAGGGACAGGCTCTGGTGTCACAGTGATACCTTCGAAACTGTACTGACTTGTCTAAATAAGGATGCAGATGTCATGAAAGTCTAAAGAGTAAAAAAATCCAGTCACCACCGAAGGAGGCCTTCATGCATGCTGCTGAGTTCCTACCGAGTTATCTCACTTGCTGATTGGTCCTCTTGTTGGATTTCTGAAGGGTCACCATTATTCAGAGATTCATTGAGATTGGCAAGGGATGTCACTACATTTGCCAATGTGCCTAGAGCACCCTGGCTTGTCTCAGCCTAGAAAAGACAAAAACACGAAATCACATGGTCAATGGATGGCAAGCAGTGACAAGTTCTGTGTTCATGCTGTGGCCCCACACAGGTCTGACCCCAGCCTAAGAGGCAAAGAGGATGCAGATTCTTTGAATTCTCTGTTCCTTACATTTAGAAGGATCCAAAGTCTTCATATAAGTTATCTTGCTCAGGTGAACTGCACCACATTTTCTGAGGCAGGTAGGTGTATGAGGAAGCTGAAATGAAGTTCCCTGGGACCAGGTCTCTGGTTTACAAGCTCAGATTCTGGTAGTCTACTCATTAGACCCAGCTGTTGCCTCCTCCAAACCTTCCTGCTGACACAATCTCTTACCTCTCTTCTATGGCATGTGGTGGAATCACTAGTTTTACTCGCCTGCAATCACAAACTTGCTTTCTGCCAAAAGGCCATGAGTTTGTCGCACAACACAGTAGGACTGCCTCATTCCCACAGGCAGAGGCAGGTCTATTTGCATTGTGAAGAGCACTCATTTTTTGCTTTCTCTGAAAAACTATTTTTCTGAGAGATGTTCTTTAGTGAACCTGAAACTTCAGGCTTTTCATTAAACATGAGGCAAACAAGAGCTACTAGCTACAACTGTAAGAGGAACGTTTTTGGGCACTATCACAGGCAGAACTGTCTTAATCAGAGAGGCACCAACTTTTGCTCCTGTTAACAAGTTACACTAGAAGTCTGATTTTGGCTTATTCCTTTAATGCATCCTCATTTGATTTACATCAGAAACAACCATCTTCTCTAGAAAACGCACTGGTCAGAGAGCTGGAGGGGGAGAGAGATGCGGTGATCTCCAGGGCCCTAACAGTTCTGCAGTTCTGCAACGCCCTATACTCTGTGGTAATGGGCGACACAAGAAGACTGCTGCATCAACACAACAGCTGCCCGGAGAGAAGCAAAGGTCACTGACTGTGCAATCCGGTATCACTGAGGAACACTGTCTTCTCATGGGATGAAACTGTCACACCTGTGCTTTCCCCTCTGGGTACCACCTTCCTAGGCTTTTACTTCAGCTGCTTTGATTTCAGCCGCATCTCTCCAGTGGTACAAACGCCATGGTAAGTCTTGTCACGTGCCATGTATTCAATTTCAAACAGCTAATCTGCCGCCAAGCTCGTTTGTAGAAGCCTACTAAGAACATGCTCCCAGGACAATTTTATAAAAAGGTGATGACAGATTTTTTTCAAAAGGCACTCAGAACAAGGGAACACAGCTGCACAATAAATGCCTGTCAATCTGTAAGCTAGAAAGCAAAGTATTTTAATCAGAATGAAGCCATGGCACTTTCAACAAGCGAAATAAATCTCAGCGCTAATATGTTTTAATGATTATGAAATGACAATACCAACACAACAAAAAAAGACCAAGTTTCCCTTAAGATAATTTACATTTTCACGTGTAGCGCTGAGTTGAGAGCTGCTGGTTACTGGCGATGGGTCCTTGTCATATTCTAAGTAGAAAGCAAACTATTTTTCAGTGAGGGAAACAAATCCAGCACAGACACAGACACTACCAAGGCGATTATGCTAAACATTTTGTGATGTGCATATTTCAAGTAAATAGTGACTCGCTTTTTTTATTGCTGTACATGGTTACAAAGTACTTTCACATGCTTCATCTCATTAAAACCTCACCATAACCCTGGGAAGTAGGCAGGAAAAATATCATTTCTATTTTATAGATAAAGATACCATGGGTTTTTTGGACCCTGGGGCTGAAACCCGAGGATGCAGCAGTGCAGAGATCTGCCTGAGGTCCCGCTGGTGGGACGCAGAACCGGGCTCCCAACCTAGAGCTCCTGACTACAAGCCCAGAGCTCTTTCAAGGGAAGCAAAACCACAGGCGACGGATGGTTACCTTGGAGTCAGCAGCAAGAAGGACTGTACCATCATCACGTATCAAAGGTTGTTGGATATTGACAAGCATTCCTGGATCAAGAAGACCTGTTTGTCTATTAGAGACATAAAGACATTCAGAGAAGCTCCTGATGTTTTACTAGTTATACCATTAGGATTTGTTTATGTGATATACTAAAACTTTCAACATTCTTAGCAATAGGGTTTGGACTATATCTTGGGGCAGCTAGGTGGGGCAGTGGATAGAACACCGGCCCTGGAGTCAGGAGGACCTGAGTTCAAATGTGACCTCATACCAAATATTGACACTTACTAGCTGTGTGACCCTGGGCAAGTCACTTAACCCCAATTGCCTAAAAACAAATCAAAAAAACAAACAAACCCCAAAAAACATATGAAGAATCTTGACAAAGATCTCTATAATGAATAGGTGATTCTCCTTTACTTGGGGTGGGGATATCTGAAGCAATAACCCATAAGACTGTTTTTAAGTGTTGTTAAATCTCCAATTTGGCAGCAGTTTGCAGAAATTCTGCTAAGAAAGTGAGATTCCTGTTAGCATATCACAAATTTGGTCTCAATTCTATCTTCCTCTATATCAGGGATTCTTAAGCTTTCTGATGTCCTAGATCCCTGTGTCTTCCCCCTGTGTCTGGGGAAGCCTGCCTGTAGACCCCTTCTCAGAATCATTTTTTAAAATGCAAAGTAAATTATATAGGATTACAAAAAAGACCAATTATAATGAAATGCAGTTATCTAAATTAAAACCCTAAACCAAGTTCATGGACCCCAGTTCAAGAACCATTTTCTGTACAGATCTTTGACTTCCTCGTCTTTCTTTCTTGAACTTTTAAAATTATGTTTGACACATGGATTAATTAGACTATACAAATGTCAATGCATTATTTACTGGGTATCCAATCTTGTCTGAAAGGAATTCAAGAAAGAAGGTTTTGAGTCAGTACTTGGTGAAAGCCTCAGATGTTGAATTTCTTAACAATTGCATCTATCAGAAAGAAAGTTTTGATATTAAAAAAATGTCCTCCCAACAAAATGAGCAGAATAATGATTAAAAATTTTTTTTGTAGAGGTATCATGACTGTCACAAATAAAACATTTTTAGGCATGAATCCTCATCTTTATGGGGGTATAACTGGGAGGGTATAATGGGAAACAGCTGCAGAAGAGACAGGAGAGAGATGAATGTGAATTCAGAATGGGCTCCCATAACCCTCTGTCATATCCTACTAGTCAGCAAGTACAGATGATGAAGTAGGAAGAAGGTGTGACTATAAGGTATTCTTATGAACACGATGACAACATCCATTCAGGGATCTGACTCCTCTAGTATCCTGAGCTTCCCTCTGCTTTAGTCTCATGCCTTCATTCTTACATCCTTCTGCAAACATGAGGGGCATGTCTGCCACTGACCTTGTTCCATCTTTGTCTGCTACAAAAGTTGGTGTGGCTATCAAGGGACTTCTTAAGTCTTTCCTGATGTAGATTTTTTCTGTTGAAGCTGCACAATTGGTGGGTTTCTCCCGTTGCACATCAAAAGGCTTCCTTTCACTCTGAACAGCTTAAAGAACAACATAAACATGTGTTTAAAGAAAACATCATAACTAAGGAAAAAGTACCCAAAGCACCAAAACACCTAATCATTATTAAGAAACGAATTACTGAAGGGAGGACTAGTTGCACTACATTAGTTTGAAAGATTTTTTAAAATACTAAACTTTTTAGGAATGAAAACCTGTCTTAAATGCCCATGATTCTGTTCATGAATTCAAAGGAAAGAAAAAGATCTCAAGATGTCCGACTAGCTTGTGCAAGAAAGAAATGGGTTTTGGGAAATTGATTTTTAAAGTCCAGGCTATCCAGGCTTGCTTTGCTCCTGCTTCACTGGACATTTCTGTCTTCCTCCTCCCCTCTCACTTTCCTGCTCCTTTTTGTAATGTCTTCTGTATTAGAATGCAAGATCTTTTTTAAAGACAGTCTTTTTTTCTTGAATTTGTATTATTAGCACTTAGTACAATGTCTGGTACACGTTTGCTCTGTCTATCCATCTATATAAGGTTTTATTTATTTGTTTCTTCTGCCAGTAAGAAGGATTCAGGATCAGAACGCCACTGCTTAAAAGTGGGCATTTAGCAGGCACTTTTCCTAGGCTAGGACAAGTTGTTGGGGAAACATTCTCCCCCCAGCTCTTTCAACAGTTTATGTCAACAAACATATGCTTAAGGAAATACACTTATATGAGTTAACAGAATGAAATTAAGTTTAACTTTATACTGTAAATTGGACCAAATACACTGAGGAAACATCCTAATCTTAAGATGAACCTGTAAAAAAAAGACATTAATTGTTTGCTATTTAACATCTCATTAGCAAGCTCTTCTGTAAAGAATCAAATATAAAACGATTATGCATGCCAGGAACAGAATAACAGAAATGATGGTATTTTCAAAAAGAAAAGAAGAGGAAAGAGTTCTCACGGCCAGAAACCAGGTAACCTGTTACCAACACTGTATCATAAGTTTGCTGCTAGATCTGCCATTTAGAATGTATTAACTCTGGCTGCTGCTGCTGCAAAGTAATAACGACTGACTTAAAGATGTCACTTTGGTGATGTGGGCCAGGCCACTGTACCATCTTTTAGTTTACTTGGGGTAAGAGCCAACTTACCAAAAAAAAAAAAAAGATACTACACTAGAACAGTACCTAGGGTCTTTAAGGCACAAATGGTTCTCCTTTCCCATAACTTCACTGTGTGCCATTAGTAAAGTTTATGTGCAGTGAGTTCTCCCAGAAGACTACACGGAAGAAATTAAGAGAAAGCCCATGTGGTGGGTAAGTCCATGGGCTCACCAGATGAAAAGTGAGATGTCACCCCAAAGGTCCTCTTATGGAAAGCTGCCTCTTTCAGGCTGGTCTTATTCTAGTCTGTGAAGCCAAGCCTTGGTGCCCCGCCAGGTACTCCCAGCTTTGTTGTCCTGGGTTTCTGGTCTGAGTTTAGTCAGCCTTCCAAGAAGTTTTTATGTTCCTGTCTGTGGTCTCTGCTTCATCCCAGAGTTTGATCTCCACAGTTTAAAGCCTGACTCTAAATTCTGTTTTCTCTCTTCTCATGGTAGTTTCATTTTAAAATTTCTGGTCCTATGTATAGTATACCACATGGTTGAGTACAGAGATGGTGACTGGTTTCTATGTTAGTCATTTATGAGTTAGCCTACTAAGGTTAGAAAAGCTCCTCATCAAGATTTCTACCAGCTGAGTGGTTTTCACTTGTAGCAATAAAAACATACATCATTCAGCTATTTTGGTCCATTGCTGAAGAGACTTACCTGAAAGCGTCAAAGTCCCTCCCCCTGACAACTCCAGAACAAGTTGTCCTGTATGGTTAAGTCCCAATTAATGTGAGTAATGATACGTCCCTCCTCCACACACCCCCTCTAGTAAGTGGTCGTATTATTTGAATTCATACAGCTGATTTCCATCACGCTGGAACCAAACAATGAGTACAATTCATATAATTATAACTTTGAGTAGTATGACTTCAAATACATGTGACTATCCAGTGGATGCATTGTGTGCACTACTCAGGACTTACACATAGTGGAAACCCACCTCCTTCTCTCATGGGGGAAAATTGCAAGATAATTATTTGAAGCATACTTTTGCACTACTCAAAAAAGAACACAGAAGATGCTGATATACATCCTAGCTGTCAGTAGATCTCCCTCTTTTCATATTCAGGGGAAAGCACTAATGAATAGCTCACTACAGAAATTTAACATTTTTCTATAAGATCGATAAGTCCATAGCATGAATGCTATCAAGAATGGGCCCAGACAGCAAGACTATTTGAACAGATTCCTCCTTCATTCTGTCTGGTCTCAGTCCCTGAAGAATAGGAACTATGTCTAAAACGGAATTTCTTTTTTTTTAATCTCTCTAAAGAAACTAATGTCCTACCTATAATGGATGCCGCATACAGATAATTCACTGTGCTTTAACTACCAAATTAATTTTTAAAATATTTTTAATTTTTAATAACAATTTTTAAAGTAATTTTTAAAAATACCCACTGCAAGGGGGCAGCTAGGTGGCACAGTGGATAGAACACCGGCCCTGGAGTCAGGAGGACCTGGCCTCAGACACTTGACACTTACTAGCTGTATGACCCTGGGCAAGTCACTTAACCCCATTGCCCAGCCCCCCTCCAAAAAAATACCTATTGCTATAACCACCAAATTTATACTGAAAGTAAAATGAAGTGGCTGCTGAGTAATTTTTTTCCCCTAGAATGTTTTAAAAGCTTTCAGTTCCTGAATAAGATTGTGCCCATTTTTTCCTGCAGCAAGTATACTGTAATTTTTAGTACTACTCATTACTTACATTCCATTTTCATGCCCATCTCTAAGCACTTTTTAAGTCTACAGAACTGGCAGCGGTTTCGATGATGTTTATTGATGATACAGTCCTGGTTGCTTCGGCAACTGTATGTCAAATTCTTCCTTACACTTCTTTTAAAGAAACCTTTGCAGCCTTCACAACTGACAGCCCCATAGTGACGACCTAGAAGGAGAGAAAATGAATGGGAGTTCACTAAAAGAAAGTCAAGTTTCCCTCCACCCCAATAACATTTCTAAGTCAGGTCTTAATGGTCCATACAGTTAACTCCTTTTAAATGTAATTTTCAGTGGAGGGTACAGTAAGGGAGAAGAGTCTATTAGTTTCAGACTGTCTCTGAACACAAATGCACATAACTTTTCTGGGGAGAAGTGGAGTAATAAGAAGGAGAGATGAAGGAAGGAGGCCACAATGACTGTGATGGTTCAAAGCTAGATAAGGGCATGATGTCACCAAGGACTTTTTGACAGGTGTCATGGGTCAGTGATCCCCTTCTGCTCTGGAATTTGGCAGGAGCTAGAGTTGCTAGACTTCTGGTTGTCCTAGAATACAATTATGAAATGCAATTCAACCTCCTACTCTTTTTTTTCTTCCTGTCACCTTCCTAAGTTCTCATCTCCAAGTTCCCTTCTATAATTCATCCTGCATATCTGCCCCTTGGCTAATTATCCTTCTGGGCCCTCACTGCTTTTTTGAATAAAATACAAATTCTTTAGCTTAGCATTCAAGGTCCTTCATAGTCTTTTCAGCTTTATTTCACATTACTCTTCCTGCCCCTCTCCATCACTGGTGCTGCCAAACTATGTTACTTGATGTTCTACCCATCTCCTGCCATCTTTGAACCCCGAGCCTTTGTTCATGTCACTGTTCACACTGACTATGTCCTATTCCTGATGAGATTCTTCCTTTCTTTCAAGGTCACAAAGCCCTCTCTAAGCCCTTGGGCTATATGTGCTCTCTTCCACTCCCCCACCCCCTAAATCTCTCACACCATGTTTGGACCCCTCTGATGTACTTACTAAAATGTGCCTTGTATTATGGTTATTTGTATATCTTAACCCCTGACTGGGACTGAGAACTTCTTGAAGGTAGGTATTCTATCTCATTTTATTTTTATGTTCCCAAAGTCTGTCTAGCAGTATACAGCACATGGTAGGTATTTTGGTATTTTCTCTGACTCTGAATATGTATATATCAGTGATATGTAAAACTACCATTAATGCCTCAGGTTGAGTATTTTTAGTTGTTGTCTGAGCCCAAAAGAGAACTGTGGAGATTGAAAGCTTCTGGTAATTTCGAATCTCTTGCAATGCCATTTTTTCCCCTTTTACATGAAGACACTACTAATTTTCTGTTGTGCTTTGAGTAATTTTCTTTTTTCTTTTTTTAACTTTTAAATCTAAAAACGTATTCACAACTTCTGAGAAGTTGATACCATTCCTTCAAAAAGTTTTGTAATATGGATAAAATGCCAAGAAAGATTAGATAAGAGCTTATGCTGAAACAAAAACATATACTTGATGTATACAAATTTTAAAAAGCATATTACAGGCAGGATAAATGTAGATTACATTTAAAATATCTTAAATGATTTAGCTACAAATCTGAATTTTGGCAAGACTATTAGTGTAATTACAACATTCACTTTAAGAATTTTCTGTACAGATTTAGTCAGTGTCTGGTTTTGTAAGATAAAAAAGGACATGAATTTACAGATATCCTCGCTTATTATGCAAATTAAAATATTCAAACAGCTACATGATTTGTGAAAATGCAGAAAGAACTTACATCACTACTTGTATCTTGATCTTCCTAGGGTGCTGAGGAAGTACATTGCCATTGTTGTAAGAAAAAAACTACTAAGGAAACTAGACAACAATTTGGGGACTGAAATTATACTCAATCCAAGAAGTGCAATTGAATTTAGGGGTATTTTGCTCCCTTGGCCTTTAATTCATATCCTTGAATTGTTTTCCCCGAAGCAGGGATGGATTTGCATTTATCTATCCCCATTCTCTCATCTAGCCTTCCTTAAGAACAATAGCATACAACTGTGAGCTTACTGGGCAGAGTTCAGCGCATGGTCTGTGTAAATGAAACAGAGTGAGGGTAAGTGGCACTGTGCTCTAACCACTGAGAAAACTGGCCCTAGACCCTAATGTAACTAACATATGTGTGCATAATCACAAAAGACACGTGGAATGTTACTACTAGAAACAGCAACAGAAATTAAGCAAGTCAGCCAAGGATGGCAAACACTGTGGCCACGTCCATTCAGGGTTTTCAGAAACAACGGGCAGGTCAAGTGCTCTTAAAAAGAGTTCTGAGGTCAACATCTATTCCCTCATCAAAGCCAACTCAGGTAGCGCCATGTGCACAAGTGGTCTGGACTAAAGAAGATGTTTTCTGGGTCACAGGAATACCCATCACTAGCTTGCCAGGCTTCTAAATGATGGCAAAAGAGGAAGCAAAGAAAGGTTAAGTCCAGGAGGTGAGTCTGGGCCCCACTTAGGAAACTCCTCTTTAGATCACTCTTGTCTGAGGGATAACACTGCAGGACCAACCCCTGCATCCACAAGTGGGCAAGAGCTAACTCTCTCACACCAGGTTTGTCTACCTCCCTTTCATTATCTCAGGTTCTACAGCTAGAAAAGTAGACTTTATTTGCATTTCAAAATGTTTGAGAAGTTTCTTAGCTTCTTTCTCTGAACTGTCTCTGGCCAAAATTTGGCTCATTAGCCTTTCTGCAGGTTTCCCTACAAAGCCCATACTTTGAGTTTATTTACCTGATGCTTTGTCTCCGCACACCACACAATATTCTACCACTTGGGGCCGCTGGACATCTGCTTTCCCCAATAAGCGCTCAACAGAAGCCGAATCGGTCACAATCTAAGAAGAAGTTTGGAAACAGTTAAGTTGTTAATTAACAACTGAATCACCTGGCCACGAGAACTGTTTAACCACAAAGCCCTAATCCTGTGCTTCTAAACAAGGGACACGCCTATGGGAACATAGGCTTCCAATGTTTAATCTCATCACTGTATCCTCTAACCCAGGGATGGGGAAACCTTCCGCCTCTAGGCCACATGTGGCCCTCTAGGTCTTCCATAGTACGGCCCTTTGAACCCAAACTTCACTGAACAAATCTCCTTAATAAAAGGATCTGTTCTGTAAAACGTGGACTCAGTCAAAAGGCTGCACCCAAGGACCTAGAAAGCCACATGTGGCCTCAAGGCTGCAGGTTCTCCACTCCTGCTCTAACCTGTAAAAACAGGCAGGAAAAGACTACAGGCACACCATCTCTCCAACCGCTTCTGTCGGACTGGTCCCTGCAGTCACCAAGGGCACACATTTGTGACATGGTTTGGGTCCAAAGAGCAGGGTGGGCTATTGGTCTACATGAGGGCTGGACCCTGGCAGCCACAAAGATCATCCAGATGAGAGGCACTTGCTAAGTATTCCTGTTATCTTTCTATCTTACTGTATGATGCTGTGTTAGTATGCAGATAAATACATTTAGCAAAATATCCAGAATGTTTGACTGAGAATTCTCTCACTGATTCAGTGGAAATGACAAGCCAGGCCCCCCTGGGGGGGGCGGGTCACTTGACAATAACAACAGTAGTATAGTAGTTTCTATGGTGCTTGCACATCACCCGTGTCTTCCTCCAAACAACACTGTGACCTGGGTAGCACAAACATTAGCAATCCTGTTTTAAATACCAGGAGCCTGTGATGTGGAGTGTTGTGGTCCTGTGGCTCCACAGCTAACAAGCACTAGAGTGCCAGTGTGGGGCCCACATCTGCACTCATGCTCAGTACCTCATCTGACCTCCATCATGACCAGAGGGCTTGTTACCACGAGCTGCCTCAGCCTGTGCTCCAGGTCTCCTGACTGCCTCCATCTACAGTCCTCCCAGGGTGCGATGCTGTGTCCAGCAAACACTTCTACCACTCATACTTTGTGGGTGGTGACTGCATGGAAAACCTCAGTGACAAAATCCCAGGCAAGCAGCAGCTTCCTGGCAGGCAGCCCTGCAGATACGGCTGCAGGTTACACAGGAAGTTCAGTATTCTTTTTTTACTGGGCCACTTTACCTCTATCTTTCTCTTCCTTTTTCAAATGTACCAATAATAGATACAATCAACTTTCACTGATGTTGACAGGAAAATGCAAAAAGCGACCATAGGAAGAGTGTATCCTTGACTGTGGTTACTGTTAAGGCTGACGGTACATGTATTAAAAAATCACTAACACAAATCCATTTTTTGTGAGATATGTAACAAAAACAAAATCATCACAACTGTACAAGCAAATACTTCAGCAAGACAAATAGCAGAGAATACAAATTTCCAATGAAGTGAAAATTTTCTGGGAAAGGAAGAAAAAGGCTTCCTAAATTTTCTTCTATATGTATTTGAAGTTGATATTGTACAGCTCTGAACTCTGGCTCATTCTAAAGTGGAATAGTTCCCTTCCCCTAATGTTGCATTCCTACTTTCTTCTACTTTCTTCTGCTTACTGAAACCAGAAATGGTCTGCAGGGCCTGAACTCCACTCTGACCCTCAGCGGCACTATGGCACACTCCATGGCTAGAGGCGGTGGAAGCTTCCGAATGCAGCTTTTTGGAAATCTCCATCTCCATACAATGTGGGGGAAATGAAACAACTGTCTCATTTCCTGAAATCCCAATACTTTGGGGGATGGAGGGAATGTTGACCTTTATAACCCTGACAGAGAGCACAGTGCCTTACACAGAATAGACAATGAAATGCACTTGACATTGAACTGAACCTCTGGCCCAACTCTAGGGCCACTTTTGTTTCTTTTCCTCTTCCATCAGCACACAAGTCTTCCTTCTGCTTCTGACCACACTGCTGCTTTGAAGGTCTGTGCCCTGGCCCCCAAATAGTGAACCAAGTAAATCTAATAAAGCAAACTGGGTGGTGAAGGCCTAGAGTGGGCCTATTTTCTCCATTTATGGAAGAAGGCATTTGTGCTAGATGACCTTCAGGGACCCTTCCACCTCTAACGCTTATGGCTCTACAACTACTCTCAGAGTTTAGTAGTGTTTGAAATGGAACAGGACAGATAATCAAGCAAGAGGTACTGTCATGCTGAGTACTGGGATACATGACAAAGGAGGTGTGTTACAGTGGATGTTATGGTGGATTTAGAATTTGAGGAGCTGGGTTAAAATCCTGCCTACATGGCTTACCTCCTTTGTGAGCTTGGGCATGTCACAAATTTCTACATATCTAAGATTCCTCATCTGTAAAACTGTGGGGAAAGGCTAAGGCCAAGGTCCCTTCAAGCTTCAAATCTACAATCCTATGATTTTAGAGCCAAGGTGGAAGTTAAGACTGAAACATAGGATCGAGACTAGGAGAAAGTAGAGTCAGTGGCTGGAGTCAAGATGGACCATGTTTTGAAGGGAGGAGAGCCAAAACAGATAGAATGTACCTACAGATAGAACATACACCATGGACAAAAGGACCTTGGAAATGAAGCAAGCCTCTTCTGACAAGATTTAAAAAATCTTTCAGCTAGAATGGGAACTAGTGACTGGCGTTCGCTCAGGGTCTGAGGTTCAAAGGCTGCGGCAGGGCAGTAACTTGCTAGCCCTGTGCCTAGCTCTGCCAGAAGGGTCAGCCTGAAGGCAACAAGAACCAAGCACTTGTCTGAATGTCTACGTAGCAGAATGAACCCTGGTTCCTACTGACTGTGCTTACTTGGATTCTGCCAGGAACCAGGTTGTCCGTGGTGGTGAAAATAAGCTGCTTGGCACTGGATGTCTCAGGTGATGCCAATATCACCTTTCCTGTTCCAGTTCCATCTGGACTGGTCAAGATAAATTGCTGTTTCGGGGATACGGAGGAGTCCACTGCAGTCACTATCTGGATTTTCTGTCCTGTTTGCTGATCTGTCACAATCTACAAGATAAAATGCAGGAGGATTTTGAGAAGCACAAGATGACATTTATATTTCTAAATGCTGCTACAGAGGGGAGATGTTTTTGAAAGGACACAACATAAATAACCATGGTTTTGGCTACTACTGTGATGACAATAATAACTTACCATAAAAATGTAGAATGCTTTATAGTTTTCAAAATGGTTTCACTTATATTATCCTAGCTGATCTTGACAATATCCCTGTAGGCTGGTAATATTATCTTTATTTAACAGATGAAGAAACTAAGGCCCAGAGAAATTAAGCGATTTGCATAAAGTAATACCACTCTACTAAGAATCAGATCCCAGATTAGAATTCAGGTCCAGTGTTCTCAGTCTTGGGTATGGTGGCAAAAGTGATATGGAAGGAGTTAGAAGGGCCTGTATTCCAGTTCCAACACTGACATTTACTGGTTGTATGATCCGGGGAAGGCACTTCACTTAGCTTGTAAAAGAGGGATATTAAATATCTGCATGATCTGCTTTCTAGAGTTGCAAGTAAAGTACTTTGTAAACCTTAAAGTGCCATAGAAATGTGAATTATTATTATATCACGATGCCTCTCAAATTAATGAAAATATGTAGGCTTAAGAACAGAATTATACAAATAAATACTGATAAATTTTTAGCTTAGTACAAAAATGATACTATTCCGTGTGTGTATATATGTACATACATATATACGCACACATACATGCATATATATACGCACATTTCAAAAAAGACCATTTTGCTAGAACAGAGTTTAAACAGCTCAAAATATGATACAAAATAATAAGTATTAGTATAAATATATGACTAGTAAATGAGCTCACAATTTCTGGATGGACAGGCTCAGGCAGTCTTATAGGTCAAGGACAAAGAGAATTAGAGAGAAGGGGAAAAAAAAACAAAAACAAAAAACCTCTTGTAATAATCCTTGTTATAACCTTCAAAATGGAGAGAGAGAGAGAGAGAGAGAGAGAGAGAGAGAGAGAGAGAGAGAGAGAGAGAGAGAGAGAGTGAGAGAGAGAGAGAGAAATTCAGAAGAGAAATGTACAGCAAGGGCATTTTGAGATATTTCTGCTTTTGTGAAGTTTTAAAATATACTTAATTGGAAATGTTCAAACAGAACTCTTACCAGGGGTGTTAGAAAAGGATTTTTGCTTTGAATGGAGGTTGGACCAGATGACCTTTGAGGTTTCTTCCAACTCTGTTCTTCTAATATTCTCTTTTTTTGCTTCCTTTTAAAAATGCATGTGTACATAGTTGTAAATTTCTTTCCTAAAGCAATTTCCCTGTTAAGAAATTTGAAGTAGGGTATAGTAATGTTTGTGAAGAGAGTCTTAATGTGTAGTTAATTCTCAGCTTTAGAGTGTAGTCAGATGCACACACTCATAGAGACATATATCCTCTGCCAATTGTGTCTTCTTTCCATGTTTATCACCAAATCTCTCCTTTGCTTAGGTCTTTTATTATCCTAAACCTTAGAGTTAGAAGGGAAATTGGGATCATTTATCTAGTCCAAAGCCCTGATCTTACATACCTATTAAGCAGGATAGTAGGTGCTGGGGAAGAGATGCACAAAAAGGGTTCTGGGTAGCTATGTATAATCTACTCATGTAGAATTAAGAGTTAATGATACTTGGCAAAGGAGACATATGTACACATACATATACATACACATACATACATACATACATACATATATATATATACTTTCTAGATGGTTATGATACTATTTCATTATATTCATGTACATTTGGTATAGCCATCTCCCCCCCCCAAAAAAAACACCCCCAAACCAAATAACCTCAAGATACTAAAATATGGACTGATGAGCAAAATGACAGTTTTGAAGAAATTTACATCCTGAAACCAGATTATAGTACATTTGAAGAGGATCCTCATTATCCCTAATTCTTCCCCACTCCAAGTCTCTCTAGCCCTTAAAATGTCAAATCCAAGTCATGAAAGCCTACCGAACTCTTTTTACCCCCAAAATTACTTGAGATCTTCAGCACCTTCTACATTGTCACCTCTAATTTCCACCATCCCTAGAAGGCCAATCCTCTTCAAGTGTCTTAATAATAGGCACATCCTGATATGGGCCCATCTTTATCCCCAATATCACAGTCCATCTCCAAAACTTTCTGTTTTGCTACCTGCATGATCTGGTGATCTACCCTAACTGACCAGTGGCCTAAATTTCAAAGCATCTCTAGCATCACAAGGAGCACATCATGATTTCAAAGAGGTATGATTCCTGCTCTCCAGATGCCAACATAGAGAAGTATATAGTTGTTATCTTTCATTATTCTTGATTTGAGTAGGTGGAAAAAGCATAGGGAACCGAGTGTAGGACAATGTTTCTCTATTTTGTAATTAAAGTAACACTTTAAAAAAAATTCAAGTGATTGATTATGCTGGCTCATGCTACTGTAATTTCTGTGTGCTGAGCCTTCTACTCTGGCTTCAAGGGCATGTTGATGCAAGTACAACCAAGTGCTAGAAATATAGTTTGAAAACAATATTCCTACAGCAGATTGCTGTCTTGTTGTTCAGTCAGCTCCAACTCTTTGTGACCCCATTTGAGGTTTTCCTGGCAAAGACACTGCAGTGGTTTGCCATTTCCTTCTCCAGCTCCTTTTACAGATGAGGAAACTGAGGCAAACAGGGCTAAGTGACTTGCCCAGGGTCACACAGCTAATAAGTGTCTGAGGCTAGAACTGAACTCATCAGATGAGTCTTCCTGACTCCAGGCCGGCGTTCTATGAACTATGGTGCCACCTAGCCATCCCAACAGTAGTCATACAGCAGCCTCCAAGTCATTTTCCCTCCTTTCTCCAGTAGTTCAGTACTGGATTTCCATTCTTCCTCTTCACCCTAGTGGAGCCCTCTTACTTGTGACTTGAGTGTATGTGTGTGTGTGTGTGTGTGTGTGTGTGTGTGTGTATACCACACATACATACATGTATGTGTGTATTATATATGTATACACATGTATGTATGTATGTATGTATGTATGTATGTATGTATGTATGTATGTATGTGTATGTGTATGTGTATATGTTAAAGGCCCCCTGAGCAGTCTGATCTTCTAGTTCATTGATTTCTTCAATTCTCATGACATCCATTTTAAGTAATATAGGTAGCACTTATATGCAGCTTTAAGGTTTACAAAGCTCTTTACAAATACTAACTCATTTCATTCTTACAACAACCCTGGTAGAGATGAGGAAATATGGGAGCAGACACAAAGCTTGAGTGACTTGCCCAGGGTCACACAGCTAATAAGTACCTTAAGCTGGGTGTGAACTCAGGACTCCCTGACTGACTTTATCACCTCTCTCTCACTTCGCTTCAGTCTTTCCCTGTTTCTTGGCTACTTCCCTACAAATATGCCCATGTCTCCTCCATCCTCAAACCCTCTCATTTGTTCCATCCGTCCCAGTTACCTATTGTCCCATCTCTTCTGCACTTTGTGGCTAAATTCCTTGGGAAGGCTATCCACAGGTGACTCCCTTGTCTCTCCTACAGTCTGGCTTCTGACCACCTTTCAACCTAGACTGCTCTCCAAAGTTACCAGTGATAAGTCCTTGTGAGGACTTATGGGTATCGACAAGGCCAGACAGCCTCTAAGTCCTCTCCTAGTTGTGAAAGATGGTGATTTTATAATCTCTGATGGCCTTTTCTCAGTCTTCCTTCTCAACCTCTCTGAAGCCTGTGAATCTCCCCCTCCTTGACCATCTTTCTTCTCCAGACTCTCCCTCTCCTTTTCTATGTGCTCCTCTGTCTTCTCTGCTGGATTTTCATCCAGGTCATGCTCGCTGACTCTGGGTGTCCCACAGGGCTCTATGCTGGGCCTTTTCTCCTTCTACTCTATTTCACTTGATGATCTTGTCAGCTTTCATAGCTGATGGTGGATGACCATCTTTATGGTGATGATTCTCAGTTCTCCTTATCTAGCCCTAACCTCTCTGCTGACCTCTAGTCTCACATCTCCAACTGCCTTTCAGACATTCTGAGCCAGATGTCTTATAGACACCTCAAACACAATATGGCCAAAAGGGAACTCACTGTCATCCCTCCATAAACACACCTTCCTTCCTCACTTCCCTAGTACTGTGGAGGGCACCACCATCCTCCTAGGCCCCAGACTTGCAACCTAGGTGTTATGTTCAACTCATCACTTTCTCTTACCCTCTATGGCCAGTCTGTTGCCACAATTGGGAGATTTTAACCTTTTCTTTCGAATGCAGCCACTTCTCTCCTCTGATAACTGTCACTGGCCTGGGGCAGGCCCTCATCACCTCACTCCTGGATAGTCTCCTTGCCCCAAGTCTCTCCTCATTGTAGGCATCCTTCATTCAGATTTGACCATGTCACCCTTTCAGCCCCCCTACTAAATTGATAACCTCAGTAGCTCCCTCTCACCTCTAGGATCAAATAGAAAATCAAGTTTGGCATTCAAAATACCCTTAGTAACTGGACCCCTTCCCTAATTTCCCAGTCTTCTTATAACTTACATGCCACCATGTAATCTTCTATCCAGTGATATCAGCCTCCTTGCCATACAGAAGACACTGTCATCTTCTGCCTCCAGGCATTTTCAATAGCTGTCTCTCAAGTATAGTATGCTCTCTCTCCTCATCACCACCTCCTGGCTTCCCACAGGTCCCAGGTAAAATCTCACCTTTAGAGAAGGTCTTAGGAGCAGCTAGGTGGTGCAGTGGATAGAGCACTGGCCCTGAAGCCAGGAGGACCTGAGTTCAAATCTGGCCTCAGACCAAACACTTAACACTTACTAGCTGTGTGACCCTGGGCAAGTCACTTAACCCCAATTGCCAAAAAAAAAAAGAAAAGAAAAGAAAGAAAAAAGAGGTCTTTTTTAATCCCTCTTAATTCTAGTGCCTTCTCTCCATTGATTATTTCCTACATATTCTCTATATAGCTTGTTTATGCATAGCTGTTTGCATGTCATCGACCCATTAGATTGTGAACTCCTTCAGAAGTGACTGTTTTTTTGTCTTTCTTTGTATCTCTAATGCTTAGCATAGTGCCTGGCATATAGTAGGCACTTAAATGCGTAGTGACTGAATGAAACTGAGGTAGTATGTCAAAGTGAAAAGAATGTTAGACTTAAGAATCAGGAGACCAGAGTTCAAATCCCCGCTCTGTAACTCATTCTGTATGAGCTTAGGCCTTCACTTAACATCACTGGGTGTTGGATCAGCTAGTCAGTAAGGCACCTTCCAGCCTGGACAGCCTATGACTATGGTCCTATCCTATGACAAGAACCGTAGCTTTTGCCTCTGACCCATGGCAGACACACCCTTCCCCCCAAATCACTGGGATTTAAACAAAGGAACTTCATCAAAGGCAACCAGATTAAGTACCAACAACCAGGAAAAACTATTTTGTGTATTTTTTAAAAAGACAAGCAAATCAACAGCATGTGAAGTTTTATTAATGTTTAATAGGCATTCAAATGTTATTATTGTATATTACCATTAAAAGGACAGCTTAACTGATTAGACTGCTAAACACCAGACTAGTCTAAGAAGCACAGATGGCAGCTGACCCCACCCTGCCTCCCACAGAGCTATGCCCCTTGTTACAGTTCTGCTCACTGTAGCACTAATAAGTCGCTGTGTTCTCTCTGCCAGCCTTGGGAGGACTTGGGTGTAGGCAAGGCCAGGCAGCCTCTGAGTTTCCTCCTAGTTCTGAAAGGTGGTGATTTTATGATGTGAAGACTGCCATTCTGGGCTCCTTAGCTTTATTTTCTCTGGGATGAACAAACTCAGAGAGTCTTTAATATCCTGGTCGTTCTCCTTTGGTTATAGTCTAGTTTGCCAAAGTCCTTCTTGAAATGTGGGCCAGAAATGAACATGATACTCCCGATGCAATCTAGCCAGCAAAGAATACAATAGGACTACTATTTCCTTAATCTGGACACCAGATTTTTATTAATTTAGCCCAAGATTATATCAACTTTCTTGGCAAATGAGCCATACTTTTGGTTCATGTGAAGTCTATGGTTAATGAAAACCCCTTATGTCTTTTTTCATGAATTTCGGTCCAGCCAGGTTTTCCCCAGACTGTGTTTCTGAACTTCACATTTATCCAGGGTACTATCTGGCTTGTTGGTTTCAGATGACCATTCTAGTTTAATGAGAACATTTTAAATACTGATTCTGTATTTCAATATATTAACTATCCCTCTTAACTTTGAGGCATCTACAAATCTAGTAAGCACACTTTCTTTTTTTTTTTGTTTTGTTTTTAGGCAATTGTGGTTAAGTGACTTGCCTAGGGTCACACAGCTAGTAAGTGTCAAGTGTTTGGTCTGAGGTCGGATTTGAACTCAGGTCCTCCTGACTTTAGGGCCGGTGCTCTATCCACTGCACCACCTAGCTGCCCCAGTAAGCACACTTTCTATCTCTATATCTAAGCTACTGACAGAAATACAGAATGTTACAGGGTCAAGGAAAAAAATAATTCAATGGCAATAGAGACCCCTCTTCAAGTTGACATCAACATAGTAAAGGAAGGTAATCTCAGTGATAAAACTATTTCACTATGAAAAGTCCAAATTATAAAATATTTTTACTTTCAATTAGAATTTTGATAAGACTTACTCCTTGGAAACATGTAAAAGGAAAACAATCTTTGCGGCAAATTTCTCTAATAAAGTTTGCTATCTAAGATATATATGGAACTGATTCAAATTTATAAGAATAATAGCCATTCTCCAATGGATAAATGGACACAGGACACGAAGTTTTCAGATCAAGAAATCAAGCTATCAGCAACAATATGAAATGTTCTAAATCATTAGAGAAATGCAAAAAAGCAGTTCTGAGGTTCCACCTTACAGCCATGTAAAGAAGGCAAAAAAGGAAAATGATAAATGTCTGAGGCCAGGAGAATGGGCACTTTGCTGCACTGTTGCTAGAGCTGTGAACTGGTCCAGATGCTCCAGAAGACAATTTGGAATTATGCCCCAAAGGTCACTAAATTGTCCATACTCTTTGACCTAGCAATACCACTACTGGGCCTATAGCCCAAAGAGATCAAAGAAAGAGGAAAAGGACCCATATGTACAAAAATGTTTATAGCAGCTCTTTCTATAGTAACAAAAAATTGGAAATTAAGGGAGTACCCACCTATTGTAGAATGACTAGACAAATGTTTTATTAATGTAATTATTACATTGTAATGGAATGTTGTTGTGCCATAAGAAATTATGAAATTGACAGTTTTAGAGGGAACTGGGAAAACCTCCATGAACTGACGTGGAGTGAACTGGGCAGAATTAGGAGAACAATATATACAACGAAAACAAACATTATAGAGAAAAACAACTTTGAAAGACTTTAAAATTCTGATCAATGAAATGATAAACCTTGAATCCTGAAGACTAGAGATAAAATGAGCTATTTTACTTTGTCCAGAAAGGAGATGTACTTAAAATGCAGATTGAGACATATAATTTTGGACATGGGCAATGGAGGATTTCTTTCTCTCACTTTTAAAAAGATTGTTCAGTGGGGGGTAGAAGGAAGAGGGATGTGGTGTGCAAGGAAAAGATAATAAATGCTTCTAAAAATTAAATTAAAATTAAAAAGAAGACTTCCTCCTTGTATTTTGAATACTGTTCTTTATCACTAGGAATGAAATAATCTAGTCAAATCTTTAACCTTGGGCTACTTATAAAGAAGATGCTAATATACAGAGAGGCACTAAAAAGGGGAAGACTGCCTCAGGTTATAAAAAGAAGTGAATTACCTGAATGCGTTGTGGTGAAGCAACTGAAGAGTCTGTAGAGATTATCTGGATGCGCTGTGAGGGGCTGGTCATTACTGGAGATTCAGAAAGTGATGTCTGCACAGTCTGTACCTGTTAACAACCAAGAAATGGTTTTACTTTGTGTGAAGCAGTGAAACAGGAGACTCAAACAAGAAGGATAACACATTTAGAAGGGTTTCACTCTTGTCCTCTTAAACTGTGGCCCTTTTGGAAAAAATATTCATTCCATGTACAGTAGGAAATACTGGAAGCCCATAAGATTATGCTGAAGATAAATCTTTATGAATTTCAAACTAGTTTGGATTTAGGACACAGAATCAGAACACAGGTGTGTTACCAGAAAAAATGATCACAAAACAACTCACTGAATAGCTTTAAAATATGACGAATGAGAAACAAGACAACTGCCACCGTAGAAACTTTCATCTAATATCAGAATAAAGGTAACAGAAATCATTTTTCGGAACTGGTCATCTAATTTTCTCACCAATCTTTGACAGACAGATAGAGAGAGTATGATACTCATTCATCAGAAGTTGCTGATTTGACATGAAGGATGTTAATGGCTTTGTATGGGAAGGTAAAGTGAATTTGACATTTAAAATACTAAATAGATGCTTGAACATAAGTCAAGAGCAGCCCCATGTGGATTAGTTGTGGCAGTCAATCACAGAAAAGTCTGGGGGCTTAGTGAAAAACCAATCTACAGATAAGATATGAATTTCCCTGTGAATGATTAGCTGGCAACCAATGACAGCATCCCTTAAGCTGGAGGGTCTTCTCTTTCCTCTAGGTTTCCCATATACTTTGTATTTCTTTCACGTCCATCATCACATTCTGTTGTTTTATGTCACATCCCCCTGCAATGAACAACAAATTCTTCAGTTCATGGACTATATGTCACATGAATCTTCCAATTTTACACAGAATCCAATACAGTGCCTTACACATCAATCAATCACTTTACAAGAAATTACTAAGCATCCATAGTCTGCCAGGTACTATCTGGGCACTGAAGATACAAAGCCAAAAATGCAATGGGCTCTAACTGCTAGGAGCTTACATTTTGTCATGGAGACAACATGTACATATGTAAGTACGTACAAAATAAATACGAAGTAATTGGTGGGGTTTTTTTTTTGGGGGGGGTGTAGAGTGGACTGAGAAATAATAGTTGGGAGGACCAGGAAAGGCTCTCTATAAAAGGAGGCACTAGGGTTGAGGACAGAAGGAAATAATGGATTCAGAGCTATGGAAGGGAGGAGAGAGTGAATTCCAGGCCCCAGGTACAGCCAAGGCAAAAGGAGCTAAAAAATACATGAGGCAGAATATGGTCAGTCTGGCTAGATGGCGGCACTAGAAGGGGAGTGATGCTCAATATGACTGTGAAGATAAGCTGGAGCTAGCTTCAGAAAGGACTTAGAAGCCAAATAAAACTTGTATTGTTATTTATATTTGGTCTTAAAGACAACAGGGAGCTTCTGGAGTTTACTGAGTAGGAGAGTAACATTATTAGATTTATGCTTTAGGAAAACCACTTTAGCAAACATGAGGATGGATTGGAATGGGGAGAATAGTGGACAGAGTGTTGGACTTGGAGTTAGAAGAGGTCAAAGTTCACACCTTACCCCTGTCCATGGACTCTGAGTTTCAGTTTCCCCATCTGTTAAGATGAGGCTAATAATTCTTGTACTATCAATAACAATGGGGTTGTTATGGGGATTAAATGAGATAAGCTATTTAAAGGCTCTGCACTTTAAAATGCCATATAAATGTCCGCTATTATTTTTAATTAATATTTGTTTAATTTGCTCCATGTGACAATTATTTTTGAGAGTACAATCACATTAAAATAAAAATTAATAATATAATAATCCTGAATATCTTTCTATATATGGCTCATGAACAATTAATTCACACAATTAAATCTCACAGATTAATTTTCAGAAATATGAGTTACGCTGAATTTATTTTTTTGCTAGCTTTATTTCTAATAGCCAATAAAATATGAATGGTCACTCTGACAGAGCACCTAATAATCTCTATTTAAAACATATGATTTTTGAATGAAGCTATTACTACTTTGCAAATAAATCAAGTATTTTTTTACTCATATAAAATGCCAAAATGATTCTGAATTATGTGCAAAATTTCTGGTTTAAACTGTCATCTTTACACAGTCAGACTTGTAAATCAATCAAGTGGTATTTACCAAGTGCCCACTATGATGCCCGAGTAGCTGCTTAGATGGGAATGGAATCAAGATTTTCCTGAAGATAATTCAATTCAATTCAATTCAATAAGCACTAAGTAATGGGTGTGCCCAATCCTATGCTGCATGCTGGGGACATAGAGAAGCAAAGTCTCTGCTTGCAAGGAGCTTACAATTCTGTTGTGTACCACATGAACACAGTTTATTAATATAACATACAAAGTAAATAGAAAATTATGGGGGAAATATCAGGGTGGATGAGTGCTAATGTTGAAGTCAGATTCAGAAGAGTGGTTTGGGTGTGAAAGAATTCACTTAGACATTTCTCAGCAGCCAACGGGAGCTTTGTTATGTGAAAGCACACATGGACCTTTTATTGTAGCTATGGGGCTGAGTAAAAGGTACTAATATTTGGGGGGGGGGAGACTAGGCTTATATAGACAGAAAGTTATACTATAGCCTATAGATTTTTAGGGTCTTATGATGGTTAAAGATTAAGGACAGGAAGGTTTTTAGAGTTTTATGGTTGGTTAGAGATTAAAGATAAGGGCAGGGGGACATAGGTTAAAGATTAGGGATGGGGGAACACAGGATAAAGGAGACAAAAGCAATTCTTTTGGTACAGGTTAAGAAGAAGTTTTATGGTATTTCAAGATAAGGGGAAAGGGTCTTTAGGATGCTCTTGAGCTACAGAATGAGCCCCAACACACTCAGAAGCGGCTTCACAAGGTACTGGAAAAGCAACCCTGAATATTCTTCTTAACCGCTAGGGTACAGTTTGTATCCACATTGGCTAAAAATCATGGGGATCAACAAAGACTGTGTAGAAAGCAGCATTTGGGAGCTGCTTTGAATGCAGTTAGAGATTTCAAATAGTGGGGTAAGGTGGGAGGGCATTCTTGAGGTAGGGGTCTGTCTCTTCAAAAGCAAGGAAGCAGGAGATGGGTCAGTCCGGCTAGAATACAGGCTTTGTGAAGGGATGGACCACGAAAACAGTATGGAAAGATAAGCTAGAACCACACTGGGCAGCGGTTTGTATTATCCAAGTTGTGAAATGTCTAAAACAGGCCTGTTGCAAACATATTTCTCCCCAAACCTATTCTTCTTTCAGCTTTCCCTCTTTCTGCCAACTGTGCTGCCAGTGTGCCAGGTATCTCCCTTGAAGTCATCACAGACTCTTCACTCTCTCTCTCATTGCCCTCCTTACCCCTGGCACTTGGATGCAGAATTCTACCTCCATGACATCTCTCTCATCCATGCCCTTGTCTCACACAGCCATTTAACCTGGATTATTACAATAACCTCCTGCTAAGTGTGCCTTGGCCTCAAGCCTCTCTGTCCTTCAATCCATCTTCCAAACACGTGCCAAAGTAATATTCCTAAAGCACAGGTCTGACACATCACTCCCCTGCTCAAAGAGCCTCAATGGATTCCTATGTTGCCTTTAAGAAAAAAGACAACCGGGGCAGTTAGGTGGTGCAGTGGATAGAGCACTGGCCCTGAGTCAGGAGGACCTGAGTTCAAATCTGGCCTCAGACATATAACACTTACTAGCTGTGTGACCCTGGGCAGGTCACTTAACCCCATTGCCTAGCAAAACAAACAAACAAACACACAAACAAAAAACCTCTCTTTCAGAGCTGGCTGAAGTGTGCTCTCCATATAGTCCATGTGAATTTAGTCCACTAAACTTTGGAAGAGAAGTCAATTCAAGGCTGGCAAAGTAGACTTTTGTGGGGAGATAACCTACTGAAATAGATTAGTAGGAAAGGGGACATTTTTGCAATGATATACACATGTGGAGCATATGGAGAAGGGGCTAAAATATACATGGTCAAGTGCTGTCTCATTAAATATCCTCACTGGTGACCACAGCAAGTCCCTTTACCTCTTAGTCCTCCAGGCAAGATCCTAAGACTCTAAAAGCTATAAAAAAAAGTTGCTGATCTGTATTGGTGGGGAGGGTCTGCGTGGGGAATTTTTCATACCAATGAAACCCCACCCCCTTTATATCTAGAAGAAAATACTTTCTAAAGATACTGTCTCTTGTAGGGTCAGCTCACTTTTTAGTGTAACTCCTAGGTCCTCCTTCCAGTACCATTATGCTCTCTGCCCCCACATCCTATCCAAAGCTGCTTCTGGCTTTCAGGCGGGAAAGGATGGGTCACATGTAAAATGCAGGGGGGGAGGGGTTAGACTAGAGAATCTGTAGTCATTTTTAGCTCTCTGCTACTATAATTGGGGCAGCTAGGTGGTGCAGTAGATAGAGTTCTGGGCCTGAAGTCAGGAAAACCTGAGTTCAAATCTGGCCTGAGACATTTACTTAGCTGTGTGAGCCTGGGCAAGTCACTTTTAACCCTGTTTGCCTCAGTTTCCTCATCTGTAAAATAAGCTGGAGAAGGAAATGGCAAGCTACACTAGTATCTTTGCCAAGAAAATCCCAAGTAGGATCACGAAGACATAACTAACAACAACCACTATAATTACTCCATGACTACCTCTGAAACAAGCTAATTCCTATTGTATTACAAATTACTGATACCTGTTCAATATGTATTACCCTTCCTAAGGGTTTACTGGATCAAAAATAAGAGCTGAGATGGATTTGAGAGGTCTCCTAGTCCACCACCTTAGTTTTACAAATGAGAAAACTGAGGCCTAGAGAGATTAAATGACTTGCCCAGTGTCACAAAATCAGTTAAGTGTCAGAGGTAGGATTTAACCCAGGTCTTCCTGACTTCTGGTTCAACACTGTTCACTACTATTCATAGTTTGAGAACTAACCCTTCATCCAAAGGAATAAAACTCCAATGTAAAAATTTCTAGCATTAGTAAAAAAAGACAGGGAAGATATTTATGGACAAAGGTCTTCTTAAGT